ATTTATTGGGTAAATTATAACCATTACCAATCACAACTCGAGTAGAACCAAGATAGGGTTTTGGATTAGTAAGAGTACCTTGATTGGGAGTCATAGTGTTACCACACGCAGTGTCCATATACCAAGAGGAATCAACAAACGGAGGGACAGAAAACCGATTATTTTGATCAGCAAAATAAAAAGCGGGCTGTTAAAATTGATAGCAATCCAGGGCAGAATGATTAAATTGGTGGCACAATTGACATCGAACAGCACCCGGATTCGACGAGTAAGAAGGAGGCGGTCCAAGAAGAAAGGGAGCGTGTTGCCTGAGAGCAAACATGGGAGCCGGATAAGAAGAAAAAAGAAGGATAAAACGGAGAAGAGGACTGACCAAAATGTTGATTTTGACCATGCCCACGGCCACGGCCTCGTGAATTTTGGAAACCGCGACCCCTTCCATGGCCACGATTGGATGAAACATGGGAAGAAGAAGCTGACGACGGCTGTGGAGAAGAATCAGGTGAAGATGCCGCCACCAAGGCCATTGTTGCCGCGGGAGAAGAAGGAGGAGCTACGTTCTGAAGCTGCACCTCATGCAAAAACAACATCGAACGAGCCTCAAGGAAGGTGGGGAGAGGAACTTTGTGGCTGATGGTGGTGGAGACAGACCGATAATCGGCAGGAAGACCGGCGAGAATTTGCAGAACCAAATCAGAGTCGAAGATCGGACAACCGACCGCGGTCAAGGAATCGGCCAACATCTTTAATTGGGTGACATAATCATTGATCGTTGAATCACCCTTCTTCAAGCTGTGGAATTGCAGCTTCAAGTGGAGAAGTCGGGAACCAAGTTGGTCGTGAAACAGTTTCTCAATCGTAAGCCATGCGTCACGGGCTGTGAGGGTCGAATTTGCCTTAACGATTGCCTGTAAGATCTCAGTGGAAACAGTGGCTTGAATCCACGAGAGCACAATAGAGTCAATTTGGGTCCAAGATTGAAAAGCAGGATTGGGAGTGGAAGAAGAAGACCCGTCGGAGGCAGAAAGCGTCGCTGGAGGACAAGAAGTTGAACCGTCGATGTGACCCATGATGGCATGGCCGCAGAAGACAGGAAGAAAGAGTTCCTTCCAAAGCATGTAGTTGGTGAAGTCAAGAACAGGGTGATGTAGTTCTTAATATTTGAAAGGCCAATGGCCGGATGAGGAGAAGAAGGGGGTGGCAGGGTTTCAGTATTTGGGGTGGTTTGCACGTTATCAGAGGACGGGGTTCCTATGACAGCAGAGTCGGCCGAGTTTGCCATAGCAGCAAGGAAGTGGAAAGCAAACAAAAAAACTGAGAAGAGAAGTGATCGACAGAGGAAACAAGGGAGGCCGAGAAGGAAAAGAAAATTTGGAACGGTGAAAGAACCCTAGAGAAAAAAATTGTGACGGCCAGGAAAGAACGCTAGAACGGTGATACCATGAAAGAATATTTTCGTGTATTATTACGTGTATACAACATCATATGTATAGTACATTATACAAAAACCCTAGTCAAGACTATCAGAAACTCTAATTAGGGTTTCCGTAAATACATATTCTATCACATGCATCGATTAAATATTGTATCTGATCATTCCTTTCCAGTTGGAGAGGTGAACCAAATTATCAAGCCCATCACACAAAACATAGGAATCAATTAAAGCATTGAATTTCAACGGCTCATACACCGAAAAACTTCATGAACATAGAAAAGTGAATCTTTTTCCTCAAGTTGGCAATGACATGGCACCAACATTCTAATTTGCGATCACATAAATTTAAGAATGAGTGAATAACTATCATACTCCAGATTCTTACCAAAAAAATTCGAGTAATGACAGTGTACAACTCCTACTATAACAGGCTATCATCAGACCTTAAAGGCCTCAGTGTATTCGTGTAAAATTACCATATGAAAGGCAATATTCTCATTAATACCCATTGATCCAATGTGACTAGAAGAAGAAAGAAAAAAAAAAGCCAGCGAACCATCAACTTGAATCCCGAACACAAGAGCAAAAGTACTCGCTAATGAATGATTAATTGGTCACATATACAAATTTCTTCAATACATTCATAGAAACTACCATGACTTAAAGTAATTTGGACAAAAACAAGTGAGATGCAAAGATAAAACACCATCTCCAAAACCCATATATAAGAGCAAAGTTAAAAACATCTGCCAAAAAGCTTTACATAAGTGTCTTTTTCTTCTTATCTTTCGTATTCTAATGACTAGACTCCAAAGCACCGATATGTTCTAGGCTCTAGAGATAAATATTTTTTTTATTGTATTACTTTAACCCTTTTTTCTATGCATTCTGTTTACTGTGTCACATTCATGTTACTGTTGCTATAAAAATACGTAATTCCAATTTTGATTTTGTTTCCAGAAGATATTATTATTTGTTTTAATTGTATAAATCAGAATTGGTTGGAATTAGGGAGGTAGCTAGAGGATGGATCTAATATAATTCGTCTCAGTTAAGTTCAGCAAGAAAAGAACGTAAATTATTAAATAACATTGTACATACTAGAATGCTGTTGACTTATTCGTGAGTGCACAAATGTAACCACAATGACAGATCATGTAAAGATGAGAATCTTTATAACTAGGGACCTAAGACTGATATTCTCATGGAATTATGCGAATCAACTAAATAAAACACGAAAAAGAATGTAAACCAACCGAATGAAATACACAAGACAAGAGCAACACCTAACCCCCATAGTACTCTACAATAGGGCTCACAAAAACTTAAGCTAAACTTGATAAGCATAATTTCAAAAAATGGATCATCTGCCAAACGTAAGTAGAAAGTGAGATAAGGTGGAGAGCACTCTATAATAGCAATTAATCAAGAATGGCAATCAAAGAAAGATGTAACCATGCATTGATTAAATACTACATATGATCTTTCCTTTCCAGTTGAAGAGGTGAACCAAATTACCAAGCCTATCATACAAAACATAGGAATCAATTAAAGCATTGAATTTCAATGGCTCGTAAACCGAAAAACTTCATGAACACAGAAAAGTGAATCTCTTTCCTCAAGTTGGCAATGACACGGGACCAACAATCTAATTTGCGATCACATAAGCTTAAGAATGAGTGAATTACTATCATGCAAACCCAAAATTTCGATTGGTCAAATGGCCCGTTGTTGTCTCAATTACACAACAGTGACCACACACCAGATTCTTAGCAAACAAATTCGAGTAATGACAATGTATAACTCTTACTGTAGCATGCTATCATCATACCTTAAAAGCCTCAGTGTATTCGTGGAAAGCTATCATATGAAAGTTAGTATTCTCGTCAAGGCCCATTGATCCAACGTCATTAGAAGAAGAAAGAACAAAACAAATGCCATCAAACCATCAACTTGAATCCCTAACACAAGAGCAAAAGTACTCGCTAATGAATGATTAATTGGTCACATATATAAATTTCTTCAACACATTCATAAAAACCACCAAAACGTAAAGTAATATGGACAAAAACAAGCTAGTGAGGTGCAAAGATGGAACACCATGTCCAAAACCCATACATAAGAGAAAAGTTAAAAAACATCTCCAAAATCCTTACATAATAGCGTTTTTCTTCTTATCTTTTGTATTCCAATGACTAGATTCCAAGGCACTGAATGTTAGAGGCTCTAGAGATAACTATTTTTTTACTGTATTGCTTTAACCCTTTTTTCTATGCATTCTGTTTACTGTGTCACATTCATGTTACTGTTATTATAAAAATACGTAATTCCAATTTTTATTTTGTTTCCAGAAGATATTACTATTTGTTTTAATTGTATAAATTATAATTGGTTGGAATCAGAGAGATAGTAGAGGATAGATCTAATATAATTAGTCTCAGTTAATTTCAGCAAGAAAAAGAACGTAAATTACTAAATAACATTGTACATACTAGAATGTTGTTAATTAAATAGTGTATGGTGCGTTTTATTGTACGATTTCAAGGTATCTTTCTATTTATTTTGTTACATTTGTGCACTCACGAATAAGTATATATATATACACGTCACTTTCTTCTGTTATATTTGTCAAGACCAGTCATTGTCAATAAAAAATCTGTTGACCAAAATGAACATAGCAAAATCGTCAATCAGAAAGTGCTTCAGCCTTTAGGTAAATAACCGTCAATATGTGGTTTCTTTCTCTTTGGACCAGCGAGACGGATTGTTGGTTTGTAAAATGAGGAAAAATGAACTAAGGTGCCTTCAAAGTGCCTTGAAAGTGCGGACGATGTCTTAAGTGTAATACACTCAAACTAATCCACACTGAGTAGAGTCGGTATTCTTTCGGAGAAAAAACTCTCCCGCATTACCCTTTCCATTCACGAGACTCGAACCCGAGACCTTACTTAAGAGAATCAACGCACCTTACCACTTTGGCTAAGCAAGTGTTAGTCAAACTGATTTTTCTTATTTCTTATGAAAATCTTTTTGGGCAAAAGGACTTGACCCAATCCTCTACCATCTACCGCGTTTGACGACCATATGTCACGACCGGAGTCCGGTGACGTGATCGAAAAAGGAGAATCGGAGATACAGAGGGAAAGAAATGAAGAAGAGAAGAGGAATCTGAATTTTCAATTCAATATATCAAATATCCGATAATGTTTTACAAGCCTCTGAAAGACTATGTATAGCCCAACAGAATATAAAACTACACTTTAGTCCCTACACTATTAATTTCCTACAAAATAACCCGAGGGCATGACAATCCCTCCCCGTTAAGGAAGGACAGTCTTAGACTGTCCTCAAGACTGTGACTAAAGAAACAACTGCTTACAATCTGGAACTACAACATCTAAATGATAACAAGTCACTGCCTGAATGCAAGAAACAGGAAAAAGAAATGAAATGCATAAGGCAATAGAGTTGGCCGCTTGTTTGTCACTTTTCGGAACTGAAGAAGAGCAGCAACCTGTTAACCATCTCCACTCGAAGCTGCCCAAGCGATCATCCAAACAAAAGTTTATTCATCAAGTGAAATTATAAGTTCCCTGTAGCCTCCAGCAACTTTGGTGCCACCTCTGAAACATGTAGCCAACTGAACCCAAACCATCATTCTCAACAGCATCGTTCCACCTCGAAAAATAGTCGCAGCTTTAACCCAATCATTCATTTCTAAAGGAAAAACACCACCCTCAAAAACAGTATTCTTTCCAATCCCAGCTTCAAAACATACACCAATTCCAGGCAAAACAGACAAGTTATCTGTAGCCTTAAGGTTATTCATGAAACCAGGAACTAAGTTCTTCCCGACAACAATTCCAACATCAACTGATTTCTAAGTATTACTAAACTTACTATCTCTACTAGATTCAACAGTAAACCAACCACACAAAATCATTTTATCTAAACAGTTCTCACCTACGCTGTCATCCAACCCAACTCAAATACAAGAGGTCTTTTTTCCTCAAAAAATATTAATCCTTCCCTTAAACATGAAATGGACTGATTCCATGGTCTAAACTCACTTTCTGTAACTGACAGCGATTCCAACTTATATGTATTTCCTTCATTCTTCTCATTCACAGAAACAAATTTAGAATCAACAACAGCATGCATTCCCTCAAAATGAACAGATTTCAAATCGTAATTACAGCATCATTAGTAAAAATGTCTAGCGGTTCATGCACCACCCCCGCAGGATAGTTACAATGTTCATCCAAAATTACAGAACCACTATTTGACTTCACACAAACATCATTCTCAGCAATCTTAATTTCATCAAGGCAAACAATTCCAGAAATTTCATCAACATCAAAATCAACAGTGGACATATCAACAGAACCACTATTTGACTTCACTTTCACCATCATTCAATTCCTCACAGGCATCATCAGAATCTACAGTTTTCAGCAAGCTTTTCACTAGCGGGCTGCAACCCAAACTTCACCAATAATCGATCAAATCTAAAATTCCAGTCCTGGTTGAATTGTTCTTGAATTGGTCTGTCAATTTTGATATCAACCTCCTTTACAATTTCGAAAATTTCTGCCGCCTCACTATCACCATCGGAATCTTGGATGGCTGTGGTTGAAAAATCATCAGAGGCCTCCCAAATATTGATAACAGTGGTTTGCTAGATGAATTCCCCGAACCTAAGCTCGAACCGATCGATTAAGTCCTCCCACGTGTGTAACAGAGAAATGGCTTCCAATCCATAAAGGAATTGAAGAGCATCACCAGTCATGTAGAAGGAGGCCACGAATATCTTACTCTCGGCTTCAATGAAATTATAGTCGAAGAATTCCTCAATTCGCATTAACCAAGAACTATAACCTTCGCCGAAGAAAAGAGGAATTCCGGATGGTGAGCGAGACAAGATTTCGTCAACTAGGATTTGATAATCAATAGAAACAATGCTTTCGAATCTTGATTAATCGGAAAGAAAATTGGGGGAAATGATTCCCAGGGGAAAAGAAAAAGAATACTTCGAATTAATCGAAGATGAAGGGAAGAATTGGTTTCTAAAACTGAAAGAATCCGGAATGGGGAACCAATTCGAACAACAGAGATTCGAAAACGAATGAAGAAGAAGAAGCAGAAGCAGAACCAGAAAGGAGGAGGAGGAGGAGAAGAAGAAGAACCGAATCGAATAAAGAATTCGAACTCGGAGAAGGATTTCAAAGAAAGATAGCGGAAGAAATGGAGAGAAAGACCAAGGAACGTAAGCCCTGATACCAATTTGTCGCGACCGGAGTCCGGTGACGTGATCCGAAAAGGAGAATCGGAGATACAGAGGGAAAGAAACGAAGAAGAGAAGAGAAATCTGAGTGATTGTTTGAGTTTTAGTTTTTGATTTGGATTTAGGAGGAGATTTAAAATGTAGTTTAGTTTTTAATTTAGAAAAGTGTTATAGTACAGTGGCTATTTATGAAATTAAAATAGTTTAGTGACTGAAATAAAGATTTTATAATATTGTAATGACCCAATGTAAGATTTTACAATAGTTATATGACCAAACGTAAGACTTTACAATAGTTCAGTGACCAAACATAATAAAGACATTGCAATAGTTTAGTAACTAAAATGAACACTTTACGATAGTATAATGACCAAACAAAAATATTTCAAAAAGTAAATTAAAATATTGTTTGGATAGTGCATTGAATTTTGTGTTTAAGGTAAAATGAGACAAAAAATAAAATAAATTGAACAAACAAGACTTCTATCAATTCAATATATCAAATATCCGATAATGTTTTACAAGCCTCTGAAAGACTATAGCCCAACAAAATATAAAACTACACTTTAATCCCTACACTTTCCTACAAAATAACCCGAGGGCATGACAACATATTTGTTGCGGGTCCAGTTTCATGGGCCTGGGGAAAGCAGCCCATATGGAGAAACAACTCAAAGAATTTGAGGCCGGGTCCGGTTCATCAACCCGAATTCTTCACCAAAAAATTTACAGCAAATGGCCAGAGGGGAAACACCGGACAGCTACTCGTGAGAATACAAAAATGGCAATGTCGCCAACTGTGAAACCATCACGGAAGAGCACATTCAGATCAAACCACGGCGACAACATTTGATGAAATAAGCCATCATGTAGAGCTGAAGAATGCTCAGGTCCCTTTCTAAAACCCTAATTCTCTCTGCTCCCCTAATTTCTGGTTTGCATTTCTTCCGCAGTCGATTGGATTTCCGTATGCTGATTCCTGTTTCTCGATGGAAATTTCTGTAGTTTTCACGGTGGATTTAGAATCACATCATCTCGTCTTTCCGGTGAAAGGTTGAAGTTTGGAAGGAATTGAGTGCGCCTTTTTGTGTAGCTTGGGAGAAAAGAATATGAAGGCTGGGAGTGCTGCAAAGTTAATTGTTGATGCCCTGCTGCAGCGGTTTCTTCCGCTTGCCAGGCGTCGCATCGAAACTGCTCAAGCGCAAGTAAGATTCCTTCCCCAACCTATGGGGACTTGCACCAATTAAGCACACCTAAGTTACAGAACTGCATCTGATTGTTGTAGCTCTTTGCTATGTTAGTCACACCTTTGAGATTTATTCTATCTTTTGTGATTTTGTTTGAAACAAAGTATTTTTCATTAGTTTGTGGCTTTACAATGCTACTGTGGAGACTTAATTATACAATGGAAGTTGGAATGCGAATTTAATCTGAGATTGCCATTAGCAGCAATAGAGGGATAAACCAATGAATTGATAGGGGATATCCAAATTGAGAAATTTTCTTGCCACATTTACTTGCCATGTGGTTTTATTGGGATATATATATATTTTATTTATTTATTTTTAAAGAAGAATATGTGAGTGGTAGCTCTTGTATGTGTTGTGCCTGAGTTCTCTTCTTTCCTTTTGCAGGATGGACAATACCTTCGGCCATCAGACCCAGCTTATGAGCAAGTACTGGATTCTTTGGCTATGGTAGCACGACATACACCCGTGCCTCTTTTAGAGGCCCTCTTGCGCTGGAGAGAGAGGTTTTTATTTCCAATTTTGTAGTTTGACATAATACGTGGTTCTTGGTTGTTTAAATGGTCTTAGATGTTTCCTTTGTAATTTGCCCTTTCTTCCATTAAAAAAGACGGTGAAGTTTTTACTTCCAACGAATATTACATACAGTCATTGCTTTCTTGGTGGAGCTTAGATCATCACTATCCTTAGCTAAAGTATTGATTTAAAATAGGCAGAGTAACTCACAATTGTGTTTCTCTGATGGGCTTATTCTACCACAACTTATTTCTTTTACCTGGAAATGATTTATTTATTATTTTGGTTAAAACCTGCCAATGAATGTCACTTCCATTGATTCATTATTGGAGCTAAAAGGAAAAGGCAGAGAAGGCTTATTTAGCAGATAATAATTATCCTATTTTTGTTCAAATTTTAAGATGTTATTCAGTAAAACTTGATATGAAAGTTTGCACTCGAAAAAGATTGTAAGTTCTTTTTATAGGAAAGGGTATGTTTGGGATCAAGGTCCAGTTCTATGCTTTGTCATCGTTGTAATTAGGTTGACACTGGCACACCCTTGTGTCATTCATGTCTCCCAGGATTTAGCATCTCCTGAAAGAACTTTCATCTGAAAAATCATAAATTGTGGCCTTGTTTATTTCTTAGGATATTTATGTTGTAATTTTATTGTTAATTCAGAATTTTTTGATTGCTTTGCAGTGAATCTCCCAAAGGTGCTAATGATGCATCAACATTTCAGAGAAAGGTTTGTCTATCAATCTTTCATGTTAGATAAGTGAATCCAGAATGATGTTTTAGGTCCACTATGTACATAAATGTGATAGGGTTTATATGGAAGCCTAATTTCCTTCTTTCTGTTCAAATGCCTATAGTCCATATAAGATATATGAAGCATGGCATGTGAATAGAGGACACTTTTGTGAAGTTTTCTTACATGCCATAGATGATTGCTGTTTCTTCGATGCTTATCACTGGATACCAATAGTATAGGGCTAGGGTTTTGCCCACATGGTGGATAGTATTGTTGGCATAATATGAAGTTCGATTTGTGTGTCTTCAGTTGTTTCCCCATAGCAGTAGTTTCACGCACGTCCATTATTAACCTTAGAGTGAGTGCTTCTGTTGTATTACATTAAGGAATTAGAACCACTGGCAATCTCAGTCTGTCTTCTTTCTGGATATGAGATAAGAGTGTGAAGACGATGTTACCTAAATATGGATGTGCTCCAGTTCTTGCCATGGGGCCTTATTGGAAGGCTTTCTTTACTGTTTGATATATTAATTGTGAGAAATGAACAGAGTTGTATACTTTAACGGCTTAACCAGTTATGTTCATATACATACCAATTTTAATTTCCCCAAATCTGTAGACAAACAAAGATAATTGTTGTTAATCTAGAGAAAGGATAAAAATTGGAGACCCTTATTTCATTGCTTAAAGGCGTGAAGTAACTTAAGTGATGTTTTTCTTAATGATATAAATTCCGATATTATATCTCATTGTTGATATCAGGTCACTCACTCTTCATAAACTTCTGTCCTTTTGTCTTTAGCTAGCCGTGGAGTGCATCTTTTGCTCCGCATGCATACGATTTGTAGAGTGTTGCCCACAAGAAGGGCTTACAGGTAGGATTTATATTCTTGGCAGTTATTACTCCCAACACCCACCCTCACCCCCCGGGGTCTGTTCCACTTTTCTGTTATTGGATTTTTTCTTTTTTCCTTCCTTCACTCTATTTTTTCATGCTGCAGAGAAACTGTGGATTGGACTTGAGAATTTTGTATTTGACTGGCTAATAAATGCAGACAGGTGAAGCTAATTGCTTTTTTAGTTTCTTATTCCTCTTATAATAGATTGGTTAGCCGTTATTAATTATTGTCTATCCACTTCTTATTGGTTTCTCTATCTGAATTTTGAATTGTGATGTGTATTTCAAGCGACTCAAATGGTAGAGTATACATCAGATTTGCTTGTATACCACTGCTCTGTCTGACTACAACTTTTTAAAAATTCCTCTTTGACTTCCTTGATAAATGTGTAATGACCTCATGACCTTCGTGGTAGTTTTAGTTTTTCAACTATCTATACCTGATGGTATCATTTGCATTCAATTTTATTTATGAGGTTAAACTTTGACTATTTCCTTTTAATGGGTCTCTAAAAATTTCTGTAGGTCAAGCATTTGGAATTTGACCCCTGCACTTTAAGCTGATGGCTTTCCTATCTATTTTTCACAATCTTTATGGCTTTTGCTCATTGCAGGGTTGTTAGCCAGGTTGAATATCCTTCTCTGGTAGATCTGAGAGGACTTCTTTTGGATCTTGTTGCACAGCTACTTGGTGCTTTATCTCGGATCAGGTAAAGAAAATGTGATGGATTCTTTGTTGATTCAGTTGGATATACTATGCTTAGGGATTTTCAGGTGTAATATTATGGTTTTCGTTTTATTTGATGTTTGGCGCTGTTACCAAAGATATGTTTGTTATCAAGTTAATGCTTGTTAGTTGTCAAATTCAGATAACTACACATGATCTTTGAGGTGAATCATTGTGATTGACAGGTTTCTTTGTTTGCTGCATAAGTAGTATGATTTCTTACCCAGCTTCTGTTTCTCTTGGCAGGTTTAGTTCTGTAACAGAACGCTTCTTCATGGAACTCAATACTCGTCGTATTGATACCAATGTTGCTAGGAGTGAAACGCTTTGTATCATAAATGGGATGCGCTACCTGAAGCTTGGGGTAAGAATTGTTTGGTAAATATTTGTCAAATTTCGAATGTTAGAATTCACATACTGATGAGGTGATTATCAGGTTAAGACAGAAGGTGGTTTGAATGCATCAGCTTCCTTTGTGGCAAAGGCCAATCCACTTAATCGTTCTCCCCATAAACGGAAAAGTGAATTATACCATGCCTTGTGCAACATGCTTTCAAACATTTTAGCACCTCTAGCAGATGGTGGAAAGGGTCAGTGGCCTCCGAAAGGTGTAGAACCTGCTCTTACTCTTTGGTATGAAGCTGTTGCTCGCATCAGGTCGCAACTCATGATATGGATGGATAAACAGAGCAAACATATAGCAGTGAGTACATTAAATAGCCAAATTTCGAGGTCATGTTGTGTTCCATAGCAAAATGATTTGATTAGTTTGATCGAAATCCAGTAATTTTTCTGATGTCCATTTATTAAATTAGATTCACAGAAGTTCTAATTAATTTGGTTTTCTTATATTGTCAAGTGAAAGATCACTTTTAGCGTGCTTGTCACATTAGAGACATGGATGACTCGTTAACATGGATTTGCACATGAAACCGCCAAGTTGTAAATGGTCGATATGTTATTAGTGGCTTTAGCACTTGCTTGAACCAATTTCGAAAGATAAAGTTGGAAAGATCTGCTCTGGTAAATTCAATATGTAGTTTGATGCTTGACTCGTTTTATTGTTAAGTTAAACACCCGATAGGTACAAGTTGTTTTAGGGTGTATTTATCTTAATGTTCATTTCAAATTTAGTTATTGTTATCTAATCTATGGAAATTATAATTTTTTTAGGTTGGCTACCCTTTGGTGACTCTTCTTCTTTGTCTCGGTGACTCCAATGTTTTCCTCAACAATTTTGGTACTCACATGGAACTGCTGTACAAGCATCTGAAGGTAATTTGGGTCCTTTCACATCTTTAGAAGATTGTTTTTTTCTGGCTTACGCTGCAGTGGGGCTTGAGAGAACTATCTTTTTGCTTGTAGTTTGTCGGGGCAAAATTTTAATTTAGAATCTATCATGCAGGACAAAAACCATCGTTTCATGGCCTTAGATTGTCTGCATCGGGTTTTGAGGTTTTACTTGAGCGTTCACGGTGATTCTCAACCTCCAAATCGTGTGTGGGACTATCTGGACAGCGTGACTTCACAACTTCTGACAATGATTAGAAAAGGAATGCTTACACAGGATGTTCAGCATGACAAGCTTGTTGAGTTCTGTGTCACTATTGCAGAGCATAACCTTGATTTTGCTATGAACCATATGATATTAGAATTACTGAAGCAAGATAGTTCAAGTGAAGCAAAGGTTATTGGTCTTCGTGCTTTGCTCGCTATTGTCATGTCCCCCACAAGTCAGCATGTTGGTTTGGAAATTCTTCATGGTACGAGTGCTGAACTGGATGTTCATTTTTGTTGTTGATATTGTTATTTTTGTAATGGAATAACTTTTGCTTTGTTGTTTACAGTCCGTGGTGTTGGGCATTACGTTCCAAAAGTTAAGGCAGCTATTGAATCTATTCTCAGGTCCTGCAACAGAACCTATAGCGGAGCTCTTTTAATTTCTTCGAGGACCAATATTGGTATTACTCTTTTCAAGCAAAGCACACACACACAGGCACAACAAGAGAGCATGTTCAGTTCAATTTCATCTAGTTTATGTTAATAATTAATAACTTGCTTGTTATTGGTTAAATGTACTGAGCATCAGTTGCTGGCGGTTTTGCTTTATTTGGGTGGTTCCATGTGTTACTAGCATACTATGTTGCTGTAAGATCATACATGAGTGGTTTTATATGGTTCATATCGGGGGATATATTTTTGCGGTAAAATTAATATTTCTGTGAGTTTAATTATGTCTGACTAGGTATTAAGGTGGCTGATTTACGAATGAGAATGTTAACTTAAATTAATCCATTTTTTCATACAAAATTTAAAGGCAATTTGAGTCAATCTGTCTCTTGAGAGCCACTTCTCCTCATGGAGCTTTCTTTGAAATGGTTACATTGCTGAATAAGAAACCAGTACTTGTGTGTTGGAGTTTATTGGTGTTGACAGGGACTATTTCAAGAAGTTGTGTAATATTTGTGTCTGATCGATTTATATCTTTTACTTGCTTTGTTTGATGTGAAAATGGGTTATTTATGTATTCTTGGCAGAAATCAAGAAACATAAAAGTTTTAATGCTGGACTAGTTTCTGATAAAAATCATCATTTAAATTAATGCCGATGAAGTAAAATGGTGTACTTTGTATTTTTGTCTTGTGCTTTCTGTTCTATAAGAGCATTGCATTGGAGTGTTTGACATGTATTTCTGGGATTGCCCTAGTTTAGTAGTGTGGTTGCATTGCTATTTTCTTCTTTTTCCTGTAATTGATTTGTTTCATTTGTGGATTTGTGATATATACCTTCAAATGCTTCTTTTTGGTCCATGAACCACCTTGATATCTCCACTGCATTTGGATTTTTTTCTTTCTGAGAAATCACAAAACAAGTTCTTTTTCTTTGTGTGTGCTTTTTTCATTTTGTTCATTAAGCCAGATTTGTCTTTCATTAAGACGCTGATTTTTTTCTTCTGCAGATGCTGTGACTAGGGAAAAGTCACAGGGATATCTCTTCCGTTCAGTGCTTAAGTGCATACCTTATCTGATAGAAGAAGTTGGCCGGAGTGATAAGATTACTGAAATTATTCCTCAACATGGTATCAGTATTGATCCTGGAGTTAGAGAAGAAGCTGTCCAAGTTCTCAATCGTATTGTGAGATATTTACCACATCGTCGTTTCGCAGTTATGAGAGGAATGGCAAATTTCATATTAAATCTGCCTGATGAGTTCCCTCTTCTAATTCAAACATCACTTGGACGCCTTCTGGAGCTCATGCGGTTCTGGAGAGCTTGTCTGGTTGATGATAAAATTGAACATGATGCAACGGATGCCAAACGACTACAAAGAAATGAAGGACTTAAGAAATCTTCTTTCCGTCAGCCTCAAGAAGCAATTGAATTCCGTGCATCAGAAATGGATGCTGTTGGTCTTATATTTCTTAGTTCTGTTGATAGCCAGATCAGGCACACAGCATTGGAGTTATTGCGTTGCATCAGAGCTCTGCGGAATGATATACGGGAGCTCTCGCTTTTTGAGAGATCAGATCATATGCTGAAAAATGAACCTGAGCCGATATTTATTATTGATGTTTTAGAAGAACATGGGGTAATATTCCTCGTAAACCTTCTTAAGCTTACCTGAGTTAGTTGGTATCTTTATATATTGGACTGAGGATTCACACGAGAGATGGTATTTGCAGGATGATATAGTTCAGAGCTGTTACTGGGATTCTGGTCGTCCTTTTGATTTGAGACGAGAATCCGATGCTGTACCTCCTGATGTTACTTTGCAATCTATATTGTTTGAAAGCCCCGATAAGAACAGATGGGCGAGATGCCTGAGTGAGCTTGTAAAATATGCTGCTGAGCTTTGTCCGAGTTCTGTTCAGCATGCAAAGTGAGTACTGTCTATTGTTGTCATTAACATGAATATCTATTTGCTTGAATTTTTTGATGATCTTCATTTCCTTTAGTGTATCTCATTGTTATGAATATTTGTTGTTTGTCCTTTAAATTTTCAGTAATGCTTCCGTTTGGGTCTTACATTATGTTTTCAACCTCTCCCTCCTATAGGTAGCGTGATTGACTCTGCAAAAGATCTTACAATTTTTCTGGTTGGCAAGCCCTTGCTTGGCATCCATTATGTTAAGATGAATCTTTTTTTCTTTTTTTTTTTTTCGTTTTTCGTTAAGATGAATCTATTATATGAAGCTTTACATTTTTTAGCGTTATTTTTAGTTACAGCCAATGAACTTAAATTAAGAAATGTCAGGATTCTTGATCTGATCATGATGTTTTTTGCAGGTCAGAAGTTATTCAGCGTCTTGCTCACATCACACCTGCTGAGTTAGGCGGAAAGGCCCATCCATCTCAGGATACAGAGAACAAGCTGGACCAGTGGCTAATGTATGCAATGTTTGCGTGCTCGTGTCCTCCAGATGGAAGGGAAGGTGGCATTTCATCTACAACAAAAGATTTATTCCATCTCATTTTTCTTTCACTGAAGTCTGGTTCCGAAGCCCATATAGTAAGTATCAAGTAGTCTTTCACGATAAAGTTTGATTTTTGGAACCACTTCAATGTACGTTTTAACTTTTACGGTTTCTGTTTCACCAACATTTGTATCATTTTTCTCTTCTGCAGCATGCAGCCACAATGGCTCTTGGTCATTCGCATCTGGAAATTTGTGAAGTCATGTTTAGCGAACTTGCGTCCTTCATCGATGAGGTTTCACTTGAAACCGAGGGGAAACCAAAGTGGAAGGTATTACTTGTTCCTTGGGTTTTCTTAGATACGCATGTTTCTCGTACCGCCCTTAGCTTTGTGCTATCTTCCTTTTCCAATGTATTTCTGCACTTGCATGATGTTTTCTTCCCATATTGGATATAGTTTTGTCTTTTGTATTCTTTTTCTTTTTTGAGATTTTTCATGACATGCTTTATAATACAACTTCATTAGGGGATCATTGCTAGGTTTAGTCTCTTTAGTGCCCTCAGTGATGGGAATGCAACATTGAGATTAGGAGTTTAGGACTGTGTATCTTTTCGGTTTCTCTGTTATCCAATGCCACATGATTTAGAGTTTGTTTGGTCCAACTCTGTAGCTATTTGTTATTTTCGCCTGGAAACTTTTGGCATGAATTCCTCCTTTTGTGTTCAAGTGCGACATTTGGTGTCTTGCTATTGTGCCAAACCTCTTTACATATATTCCAAGTTCTTGGAAAGAATTAAAAGGAGTAATGGGATTTACAGAATTCAAAATCCTTACTACTGTCTTAGAAGCCTACTTATTTAACCTTCAAGTAGACTCTTTCTGGGGGGAAATTTTTCAAAAAGAAGTCAAATTTTTAAGTATGGAAAGAATTCATTTAGTCATGACAAGTATTCAAACTAAAGTGTAGGGGCTTCTTTTAGAGGAAAAGATGCTCATTTGCTAAACATAGCTTCCATTTGGGCCCTTATTGCTTGTGTAACTTCGTCTCACTGTTCTTGTTTCTGAAGGGGAAAATATTGAATTGATCATTTTCATAAATTTACATGTGTGCTTTTCGTTGATTTCTCCTTTGGAGGTGGTGAGCTCATTTAAATAGGCAGAACTTATGCTTTTAGGATTGCTTGTTACTTCCAAATGAAGATCTCCTGGCCCCTCTTATTGTTCTACCTTGCTCTATGTGTTGCCTTGTTTGGTACCATGCTATCAGCACTCCTTGATATGTTACGGAACATTCCACAAATTTAACTATTGAAGTTATTTTGACAATGATATTAATCAGGAGACATAAAAATGAAGCTTCTTTATACCTGTTAACAAAGATATTGTAGCAAACTTTTATTTCTGATTACGATTCCAACGGTCAACTATTTCATTCATTTTTGTCCAAGAGATGAAAATGTTAGAAATACATGCGTACTTTATATATCGATGATTCTATGTGACATTACCTTTGATCTATTTTATCTAATAATGTATGGATGGCAGCTTTAAAGATTCTAAGCTCCTTATTCTCTTAGGATCTCTCTGATAGAAACTAGGGTACTTTTTTGTGTCACATCTATATATATGATTTGCATAAAACATCTTGAAGCCAATGTCCCCCATTCGAATGATTTTGGATCATATGATTTTGCTACTTGTTAAATTTTTCTGTTAAGGTTCTGAGAACTATTTTTTGGGGTGCTTTGGAATCCTTTCTCCGTCCTTAGATTGTTATTGACTTTGTATTATTACTTTAGTTTTGAGAATGTTATTCCCGTTTCCTTCTTTTCACCAAAAAAACATCTGCCATTGCACGATGCCACGTAAATCGATCTTATTCATGTAAGACCTTATTAATGGGCTTTTGCTGTGTTTGTAACAACCCTAGATATCTTCCATGAAAGCTTGTTAAATGTGTTGAAGATTTTTATTTTTGCTGATACAGAGTCAGAAGTCTCGCCGTGAAGAACTTCGTATCCACATTACGAATATATACCGTACTGTTGCTGAGAACATCTGGCCTGGTATGCTGAGCCGAAAACCAGTCTTCCGTCTTCATTATCTGAAGTTCATCGAAGAAACTACTAGGCAGATATTAACAGGTTCTCCTGAAAGTTTTCAAGAAATGCAGCCCCTTCGTTTTGCTCTTGCTTCTGTCCTAAGATATTTGGCTCCTGAATTTGTTGATTCAAAATCAGAAAAGTTTGATATTAGAACTAGAAAGCGTCTGTTTGATCTGCTCGTCTCCTGGAGTGATGAGACTGGTAGCACATGGAGTCAGGATGGAGCTAGTGATTACCGACGTGAAGTTGAAAGGTATAAATCTTCTCAGCATAGTCGGTCAAAGGATTCAATTGATAAACTTTCATTTGATAAGGAACTGGGAGAGCAGGTTGAGGCCATCCAGTGGGCCTCCATGAATGCAATGGCATCTCTCTTGTATGGGCCTTGTTTTGATGATAATGCCAGAAAGATGAGTGGAAGAGTAATATCTTGGATTAACAGCCTGTTCATTGAACCTGCACCAAGGGTCCCATTTGGTTATTCACCAGCTGACCCAAGGACACCTTCTTACTCAAAATACACTGGAGAAGTTGCTCGTGGTGCAACTGCTCGTGATAAGCATAGAGGTGGCCACCACCGAGTCTCCCTTGCAAAGTTGGCTTTGAAAAATCTTCTTCTGACAAATTTGGACCTCTTCCCTGCCTGTATTGATCAGGTATTCACTGCTAAAAGCAATTTGTCCCATACTGCTTCTGCATAGTACTAAGATTTTTAGAGCTAGTGTTGGCTTTTCAATGAAACATCTCTATTAACAATGTAGCAAACTGAAACCCGAAATGTGCACCATTTTCTTGTTATCTGTGATCGGGAACAAACGAATTTAAGTCACTCCTAGTATCGCATCTGTCTGTTTCAGCCAAGCATAGCTGCAATTTTGGATCGAATTGTTGTCTTTTAGTATTGTTGTGGATATTGCACCTAATGTTGGGCTCAACTTTTCCTCTTAATACTCCTGCAGTGCTATTATTCTGATGCTGCTATAGCTGATGGCTACTTTAGTGTGCTTGCTGAGGTCTACATGCGTCAAGAGATACCTAAATGTGAAATACAGAGACTGTTAAGCCTTATCCTCTATAAGGTGGTTGATCCATCCCGACAAATCCGTGATGATGCCCTTCAAATGCTTGAAACCCTTTCTGTGCGTGAGTGGGCTGAAGATGGCACTGAAGGCTCTGGAAGCTATAGAGCTGCTGTAGTTGGAAATCTCCCCGACTCATATCAACAATTCCAATACAAACTCTCTTGCAAACTTGCCAAAGATCATCCTGAATTAAGTCAACTGCTTTGCGAAGAAATAATGCAAAGACAACTTGATGCTGTAGATATAATTGCCCAGCACCAAGTGCTTACCTGCATGGCTCCCTGGATTGAGAATCTCAATTTTTGGAAATTGAAAGATTCAGGGTGGAGCGAAAGACTACTGAAGAGCCTGTATTATGTCACATGGCGGCATGGTGATCAGTTTCCCGATGAAATTGAAAAGCTTTGGAGCACTATAGCTAGCAAGCCTCGGAATATTAGTCCAGTTTTGGATTTTTTGATTACTAAGGGGATTGAAGATTGTGATTCAAATGCCTCAGCGGAAATTAGTGGGGCATTTGCTACATATTTTTCTGTTGCTAAACGGGTTAGTTTATATTTAGCTCGAATTTGCCCACAGCGAACCATTGATCATTTGGTTTACCAACTGTCTCAACGAATGCTTGAGGATAGTGTGGAACCAATACGACCCAGTGCCGGTAAGGCTGATGTCAATGGGAACTTTGTTTTGGAATTCTCTCAGGGACCTGCGGTGGCTCAGGTTGCATCTGTTATAGACAGTCAGCCTCATATGTCACCTTTGTTGGTTCGTGGATCCCTTGATGGTCCCTTAAGGAATGCGAGTGGAAGCTTGAGCTGGAGAACAGCTGCTGTTGGAGGTCGGAGTGCTTCAGGACCACTGAGTTCTATGGCACCTGAGTTAAATGTCGTTCCTGTTTCTGCTGGCCGATCTGGCCAACTTCTTCCATCACTTGTTAACATGTCGGGGCCCTTGATGGGGGTTCGGAGTTCGACTGGAAGCTTGCGGAGCCGCCATGTCTCTCGAGATAGTGGCGACTATCTTATTGACACGCCCAACTCTGGGGAAGATGGATTGCATTCGGGGGCTGTAGCTCATGGCGTGAATGCAAAGGAACTTCAATCTGCATTACAAGGACATCAACAGCATTCATTGAGTCATGCTGATATAGCATTAATTTTGCTCGCTGAAATTGCTTATGAGAATGATGAGGATTTTAGGGAACACTTACCCTTGCTCTTTCATGTAACATTTGTATCTATGGACAGTTCGGAGGATATTGTCCTGGAGCATTGCCAGCACCTACTCGTTAATTTGCTGTACTCTCTGGCTGGCAGACACTTGGAGTTGTATGATGTGGAAAACAGTGATGGAGAAAACAAGCAACAGGTTGTGAGCTTAATCAAATATGTCCAATCGAAGAGAAGTAGCATGATGTGGGAGAATGAGGATCCGACAGTTGTGAGAACGGAGCTTCCTAGTGCAGCACTCTTGTCAGCCCTTGTGCAGAGCATGGTGGACGCAATCTTTTTTCAAGGAGATCTTCGTGAAACTTGGGGAGCTGAGGCTCTTAAATGGGCTATGGAATGCACATCAAGGCACCTTGCTTGTCGATCACACCAAATTTATCGAGCGCTTAGGCCCCGGGTCACAAATGATGCTTGTGTATCTTTGCTTCGCTGCCTCCATAGGTGCCTGGTGAATCCAGTACCAGCAGTATTAGGCTTTATTATGGAAATCCTGTTGACATTGCAGGTAATGGTGGAGAATATGGAGCCAGAAAAGGTGATACTCTACCCTCAGCTTTTCTGGGGCTGTGTAGCCATGATGCACACAGATTTTGTCCATGTTTACTGCCAGGTGCTTGAGCTCTTCTCTAGGGTCATTGATCGTTTATCATTTCGTGATAGAACAACAGAAAATGTGCTTCTGTCTAGTATGCCTCGTGATGAGTTGGATACAAGTGGTTCTGACGTTAGTGACTTTCAGCGCATGGAATCAAAAAATTCTTCTGAACCATCATCAAATGGCAAGGTACCAGCATTTGAAGGAGTGCAACCACTTGTGCTGAAGGGGCTTATGTCATCAGTCAGTCATGGTGTTTCTATAGAGGTTTTGTCACGGATAACCGTGCCATCATGTGATTCAATATTTGGGGATGCTGAAACTAGACTTTTGATGCACATTACTGGCTTACTTCCTTGGCTTTGCTTACAGCTCAGCCAAGATGCGGTTGTAGGCCCTGCTTCTCCACTCCAACAACAGTTCCATAAAGCTTGTTCTGTTGCAACAAATATTGCGGTTTGGTGCAGAGCAAAATCATTGGATGAGTTAGCAACTGTTTTCATGATTTACTCACGCGGGGAAATCAAAAGTGTAGAAAATCTTCTTGCTTGTGTTTCCCCTCTGCTATGCAATGAGTGGTTCCCCAAGCACTCAGCTTTGGCTTTTGGGCACCTTTTAAGGCTCCTGGAGAAAGGACCAATTGAATATCAACGTGTTATTCTTCTAATGTTAAAGGCATTGCTTCAGCATACACCCATGGATGCTGCTCAGAGCCCCCATATGTATGCAATTGTTTCGCAGCTGGTTGAAAGTACCTTGTGCTGGGAAGCACTTAGTGTTTTGGAAGCTCTCTTACAGAGTTGTAGCTCTTTGCCATCTTCCCATCCACATGATTCAATGACACTTGAGAACGGACTTGGCATGGGAGATGAGAAGATTCTAGCTCCACAAACCTCATTTAAAGCTCGAAGTGGGCCTTTACAGTTGGCAATGGGATTGGGATTTGGATCCACACCCAACACCCAAGCTAATGCAAATGAATCTGGCTTGTCAGCTCGGGAGCTGGCATTGCAAAATACTCGATTAATGCTTGGACGGGTGCTTGATGGTTGTGCTCTTGGGAGGAGAAGAGACTACAGAAGGCTGGTTCCTTTTGTGACCAGCATTGGTAACATTTAAGGCCAATGATTAATTTAAATTTTTTCTCCTATCTCTGTTTATGACGGAAGTGCTGGAATGTGGTGGCTGTTTCTGTAAATAGATGGCTGATTGTAGTGGTGGTTTAAATCTGTAGCTTTAGGTACATTATTTAGGGTACTCTGAACTGCGTTGATGCCACGAAGATACATTGTTGACACTGTAGGACCTCACTACCTTTAGAATTGGGTCGTGAGAGAAGCATTGCTGTGAAGGTATTAGGCGTAATCTGCTGTTTGGGATTAGTTAGTATTTATGCATTAGATCGATTACTCATGTATAGTTGCCAAAAAACAGTTTTGCCTCAAAATAATGTTTGCTTGTAAATCTGGTGACGTTAATTTGGAACTCATTTGTGATGATATGCAAAAGTCATGTGAGTTTCAAACCAAGTGGATTCAAAATTTATTATTGATGATTGAAACTTTTAGGTCCGAGTTGAATGTTAACTTTCACTTGCAAGTTTTGCAAGCAAAGGTGAATTAGTACGTACCCAGCACGCCCGTTACAGTTTACACCATTCTCATGCAGTATCAGTAGAAAACATAGTGGCTGACTGTCAAATGGGTCATGGAATGTCGGTTTTGTTGTTCATTATATTAATTGTTTTATTTAAATAGGTTAATATTTACGTCATTTTTTTAAATGTAAACGTGTATATAATATTTATAATTTTATAATAAATTATATATAAAAAGGGAAAATCTAGAGTCCCGTTGGCCTTTTTTACGGAATTGTCCCGTTTTGTCTTCAACCAATCAAAATTGAGGGTACAAGATGTAACCATGTGGTGAGTAACATTCTATAATATCATAAACTAATTGAGAAAATGATCACTTTTGTCCAAAACATCAAGTTTCTTATCCAATTTGACCCAAAATATTTTTGTGAAACCAAATTCATCATCTAAATTTTAATTTTTTGCCAATTTAATCCAAATTGATGAGAATTTTTGTTAGATTTAATATTTCCATTAACATTCCATTACTTTATACAATTTTTTATTGGTAAAAAACTTTGTTGACCCAAAATTTTAACATTTTATCCCTAATATTTTGTTATTCAGTAACATACGTTTATCTTACCATTTAATTATTATAACGTCCATACCACATAATTTATCTCCTAATCTAATTCATTCTCCCACCCTAAGCCTCTTCCTTTTCTTTCTCTTTTACTTGTCTTCCGCTGCCGCACCACCACACGCCCCTTTCCTCTTCTCTCCTAAAAATTACCATCACCACTTCCTAAATCTGTGAAGATTTCAAACCATCACCACAAACATAAAAATTCGCCTCCACCAACAGTACACAATCCTCCCTCCATTATTACCCCCATTTCCGTCGCCGCCGCTTTTCTTCAGTTCCACAAAAATTACAAAATATTTTACTTATTTTTCCTTTTTTTTTCCTTCTTCTTTCTAAAAAATTGTACAAAGTAACATAAAAGGAAAAAATAGCGATGACACCGTTTTGACCCCGTCGTCAATTTTATCATATCGATTTTCGATTAGCCAACTTTGTCCTTTGTGATTGAAATTTTTTTCAATTTCATTCAATTGGTCAAATCTTCATTAAACTTAATGGATATCCGTTAATTTTTAACAAAAATACCACAATAGTTTTAAAATATTATAAAGATAACTCACAAAATATTTTTTGAGTTATTCGGAACGTGAACGTCGTTTTCATCCTTTTTCTTGCTTAAAAAACGTAAAAATAACAAAATATCCTCTTTTCACTTGTATTCATTTTAATCTATTTCATTTTATTTCTATTTACTATTTTTCATAACCATCAAAATATACCATATGATCTTTAAAAAATAATGATTTATTTTCAACAAAATTTTTCATGTGCAACACACTTGAGTTGGGTTTAGAGGTAATTTTGTCTTTTTATATTTTTTAAAAAATTTTAATTTGTTTTATTTTATTTTTTTAACAATTTTTTTCTTGTACTCTTTGACTTGTCTATGTTGGTACTAGTATAATTACTATATTTCAAGAAAAAAATTTACCTTTTCTAATTCAATTTTGAGGTTTAAAAAAATATTAAAAAATATGCTGTTAAAAAATATATGTATTTATCTTTGTCATGAAATTCAATGATTCTTTATATAGTTTAGCTATCGGCAAAGTAACAACAACAATTACTAAAAAAGAATAAAAATTGTGTTAACTAAATTTAAAACAATTCATCATCATGGACTAAATAAATTAGCATTTTTTTCTATTTCAAATTATTATCTAATTTTTATATTATTTTTATTATCACAAACAAAATAATCATTTTAGACTAGATCGAATGAAATTTATATTTATTAACTTACCTATGAATTACAAGAAGTCAAGGAGGAAAGACCATTTTTTTTTTTAGATTTTTTTTTATTTAGAATAATAACCTATTAATTTTCGTATTTATTTCAACTCAATTTTTTCTTCCTCCTTTTCTTTATTTTTAAACTTCTTTTATAATCTATGAAATAAAAAGTAAATTAATTAATGAAATTTAGAATTATACTAGTAGCAACAGATAGAAGCCATGAAGTATAAAAAAAAGAATAATAAATGACAAAAAAATAAAAAAAAATTAATTAAAAATTTTAAAAATATGACAAAATTACTTCTAAACCAAACTCACATGTTTGCACATGAAAAATAGAGTTTGAAAATAAATACTTATTATTTTAAAGATCTTATAATATATTTTGATAGTTATAAAAAGTAGTAAAGAGAAATAAAATGAAATAAAAATGAATAAATAAATAATGAAAAGAGATGATTTTGTTGATTCTACATATTTTGGAGTTATTTTTATAATTTTTTGATACTATTGAGATATATTTTTTTGTTAAAAATTAACTGAAATCCCTTAAGTTAACAAAAACTGGGCCAATTGGATGAAATTGACAAAAATTTCAAACGTAAAGGACAAAATTGGCTAACAAAAAAATTAATGGGGTAAAATTAACGACGCGGTTAAAACTTTGGGTAGAACCGTCATTTTATCCGTAACGGAATGTCAGCGGAAATGTTAAATCTAATGAAATTTTTATCAATTGGATGAAATTGGCCAGAAATTAAAACTTAGATGATGGATTTGGCATCACCAAAATCTTTTTGGGTCAAATTAACTAGACACTTACAACTTTGGGCAAAATTAACTAATTTCTCTAATTTTTTTAGTTTAATCAAGTGTGTTTAGATATATTTACCTATGATACACTTTTATTGTAATCCTATGATTATTAATTAGCCTAATTATTCCTACAGTTATTATCTTACAACGGAACCGTTCCGTAACGGGACTCTAGCCCTTCCCTTTTTTTCTCAATTCTCAAAAGACTCAAATACAATCAATTCAACGTTGATGATGTTCAATATCTGTTCATCTCAGTTTTCAGCAATAAGACAAGCCAATTTCAAACATAACCGAATACAACAACGAACACTGACATAAATAAAAGCCAGGTTCCAAACATTTTCTTCCTTTGTACATTTTTGACGAACTTTAACTCAACGCTAACATTGAGTAGAGTGTCATTATTAAAAAAACTTCCTGGAGCTGCAATCCTATGAACACGAGTTCCCCATTCGGCATCGACATGATACCATATTTAGAGAACCTTCAGGGAAGGGCAGTGTGATAACTGCACCAATTCATGGGTTCAAGATCAACATGAGAGATTACTCCCTGGGTGATGCGTTTTTCTTGAACAATGCATAAGCATCACTGTATATTGCCACCACGTTTGAAAACACAGCAAGGACAATCATGAATATACATAAGATCTTGTCCTTCTTTGTTGCTATGCCATATCGGTCCCTGAAACACCACACCATGTACATCAATATTTAATGTTCCGCTAAAATTTTTAGTAGAGCTATTGCTCTACCATTAACAAATATAGACACCAAAAGCCTCCTTTCACATGATTTGAAGAAGTATCATATTAAATTCCCCCACAAAAAAAAAAAAAGAAAAGAAATGGAAGTGTCTTCTTAAGGATTTCTCATGCTCTTCCAATTAATGTTATATTTTGCCTTCTAACATTTCCAGATAATAGAATATAAGGAACTGATAGTAAGCAGAAAGTGATGTCCTGTAGTAACTGGTTCATTTCAGGGAAAATTGAAACCTACTTTCTTTCAGGTGACAAAAAGATAATTGATGGCAGATTAGATTTGAGATTAAGTTGACTAACCTTAGAGTGACTGCAGCAGGAAAGATGAATCCAATGCAGACTGCAGCAGTAGCCCCGGTGAACTGGAATGCATCCCAGATGCTGGGAATGAAATTTGCGCCGAGGAAGATGAGACCAATAAGAGAGGTGCTAAGTAGAGCAAATCTCGCATTGTCTGAAGTCAAAGGCCTAGCAGATGGAAAGAGAAGGCCATCCAAATTCAACCGTAATGGATAGAAAACAATAGGAAATACAAGCATCAGGTGAGCGGCATAGCTTATACGGACTGCATCATTCAGCATAGAGCCAAAAGGAATTCCAAGATTTGAATCGAAGTTGGAAAGTACATCGTCGAGTGTTCCATCGCCAAATAATAGGAAACCAAAGAGACTTGTCATCACATATACAGATGAACAAAGAGTAAGTGATGTCCGAACAACTGCTTTTATCTGAGTGTTGTCTTCAAGTTCATTGTCAATCGAGTGAACTGCAAACATTCAATTATCAGAAAGTTATTTTTTATACATCTAAGAAGGATAAAAACTTGATCGCTCCACAGAGATAATTGATGGTGTCTATTTGGGATTATAATGGTACTGATACATTTCATGAATCACTTTTCTCCTCATTTTCAGCTAACTTATTAAGGTTTCCACAGCTCGATTTAACATTTATAAGTCCCATCAACAAAATAAACTAACAGCAACAGAACTAACTGTCCAGCTAATCTACTAAGTAGCATAAAAATAAGAATAATCCAAATAAACACCATTTCACTTGATAGGATTTTATTTCATAATGTTTCAGAACCACAGAAAACCAAAACACAGATTCACAGTTGAAGTTCATACCATTGTAATGGCAGATGTAGGCAGTGACAAGAACAGGCACCACAGTGAAGAGTTTGAAGAATGATGCCAGATCATGAACATCAGGAAATAGTCTAGGCATCAAAACAGTTCCACTGAACAACTTGAATACAGTGATTCCCACTGTGATTACCAGAAAGACTACAGCTAATGCAACGGATAATGCAGATGTGAACTTCAAAGAATCTGCAAGCAGAAGAGAAGAGAGTGAAAACTTTCACATTAATAAGAGTTATACAGATAAAACAAGACAGAACCCAATACCTGAATTGAAAATATATAATGGCACGAATTTCAACCAATAACACTCAATAAGAAAGGGTGACAAAATAGGCCTTTAATAGCGACTTAGACAATGGATACTAAGAAACACATTTGATACATTCAAAGCGCACAGCAATAACAATTTGTGTGATGAGAACAAATTTCAATCCTTCTGACAGTGAACTACTGCAATTGCAGACCAAGAGAGTTGATAAAGGCACAACCAAGTAGCCATAAGATACTTGATCCAGGGGTACTGCCAATGAATAATTATGTCAACGAAGACACAAAGTGGAGAAGATGTACAACAGATATAAATTCTAAACAGTATTTACAAGGATCTTACCTATGCGCTTTAAACTTGCCAACGGGGCAAATACGGCAAGAGTAGTGATAAGGAGAATTGAAGTTCTTCCATTCCACCAATGTACCCCAAACCATCCTTCCAGGACACCAGGATGGTGAATACCACTTGATGTTGTTCCAGAGAGCACATCACCTATAACAACACAAACAAAAGCATTTCCTTTTAGCTCGTACGTCTAGCAAGAGTAACAAGGAAATAATAAGCTCAAGAAGTGAAATTTTATATTACAAACATATATGAGGAAAAACAAAAAGAAATAAGAAACGAGCCATACCAATGATGATCATGTATACAATAAGCACGCCTACATTGTTGACCAAAACACATATCTGCAGCAACATACGACCATACTTTCCGAAAGTATCCCCCATAAGACCTCCATACGAAACTGATTTTGAACTTCGACTAAACCTGAGTAATAACTCAATTGAAGCATCGGTTAAGAATGCCGTAAAAATGATTAGAGCAATTCCTGGAATAAGCCCCAACACTTTCATTGTGGCTGGCAAGGCCATTATACCAGCACCAACAATAGTGGTTGACAAATTAAAAACAGCCCCACTGAAAGAAGCCCCATTGAATTCATCAAATCCGGCTGCATCTTCCTCATGTTTGGTGGGCAACAAGGGAGACTTCTCATTAACCACTGGTTTGCTCTTTCTAGACTTCTTTTCTTTTGTTGGTTTGATGTTTCCAGTCGTCATCTTCCAATTCCAATAAAACTAAAATCCAAATATGAAGTATTCACAGCTCCTTAATCTCCTAACTCCTTTAGCAATATTATCCTGCATCAGAAAGGCATGTCAAGTTAGCTTCCCAGCTTTCAGAAGATGTAAACAAAGCTAATTACAAAAATTTAGCAATACTTGAAACAGCAGATTAAGCAAGGCTTCTTTTTTTCATTCTAAAAGCATAACAATTCTATAGTATGAAATTAACTAAACTAATACACATAAAAGACAAACACAATCATAATCTAGTAAGAACACACAGAGCCACTAGAACAGTATGGTTATCTTACAAAGAAGTTCAACCCAGATATTTTCAGCTTTTCCTAATGCATCCAAGGTAATTTAACTAACTGAAAAATCATTTTCAACTATTGCAGGAGGAGTTTATATATATGACCAGAAGTTAAAGATTGAAGCTTTCCAAGAATAATTCCACACCAACTCAATGGTTGAAATCAATCTGGGAATCCCATATCATACCTGATACAATTCACAAGCGGTTGGAAAAAGCAACCAACGTATTTGAAACCAAAAGAATTTGAGTTCTTCTTTGTTCAAAAAACTATAAAATGATGAATAAAAATCAACACTTCGACAAATAAAAATCTAATTCTCTCTCCTTGTATGAATGAGCTCGTGCTGAATATATAGAGAACGCGGAAAGAAGAAGAAAGATAATAGCCATACGCAACTCATGGATTAAAATAATTGTATTTATCTGCAGTACGACGACCCTGGGGCTCTGTCCGAGCCAACCCACAAAAAAAAAAAAAAAAACAACTGTTGAACAAAAAAAGGAAGTCTTACATCAACAACAGGACAGTGGCCCGATGAATGCAGTAATGGAATTGACCTTTTGGGTTCTCTCTGTTTTTTTACAAACAAAAAAAATCCCAAAAAGAAATGGTGAAAAATTTCTGCAGAAGAAGAAGGGATCTCCAATTGAAAATTGAAAAACCGAAATACCCTTTTCCACGTAATTTTGTATCAATTGGATACCCTCCTCCTCCTCCTTCTTCTTCGTCCTTTTTTTTTTGGGGGGGTTTTCTGTTTTTAGCTTCAAATCAGAATAAAATGGAAGGTGTTCTTCTGGGAGAGAGATTGTTCTTCTGGGTGAAAAAAAGAACAGGAAATTTCAAGCGAATTATTATTTAATATATATTTGTTTGTAGTATTTGTTGTTTCTTTTTTCTTTTATTATTTGGCGGTTTTCAATTATTGAATTGCAGCGATTTCAGGATTGATTACGAAGGTTTGTCTTCAAATTCGTACTACTATTAGACCTTCCATTTTATTTTATTTATTTTTTTAGTTGGGGTAGCTGATCTGGCACTGGCGTGTGCCGTGTGGTTCCGAATTCCTTACAAAAACTCTCACCCATTTTTATTTCTTTATTTAATTAAGGTTTGGGAACTTGATTTGTCTTCAATCCTCGTCCCCTACGAGTAAAATGTGTCCACGACTCTCTCACGTTAATCTGAACCTATTTACTATTTAAAATTTGTAAATTAGGTAAATCTTCAAGTAAATATTACAAATATATTTCCTCCCTCCTAAAATTTTTGTTCAGTTTGGGTTTTTCCTTTGAGTTAATTATATATAATACTAAAAAAAAAATCCAAACTGATGATAATTTTGGGACGGAGAAAGTATATATGTATATACCCACTTCGAAAATCAGAATTGTTAAAAAGTTCAACTTCATTATGTAACATTTAGATGGAATTTCACCTTAAAATTAAAATGGCATGGTTTCGAACTCACAGTAATGCATCTAGTTATAGCATCCTTTGTAAGGCTTGAGTACTTCACCTTTGGGACATTTTGATAATTTTTTTTGGGACAATATTTGCTGCATGAGAAAAACTAGTTAGTAAAGTCGCGGTGGTGGTAAAATGTAAATGGTTTTCTTGCACTAATTTACTAAAGACCATTATGTGTAAATCTGTTTGAGTAAAGGCAACACATAGGTGTCGAAAGTCTTGCTACGGATATTATTGTGAATTTTATTTTAGGATAGGATTTTTTTATGGTAATTTTAAAATATTTAAATAATAACTGTCTCGTCCAAGTATACCTTTTAACATTTTCAATACACTTTTTTATGTTCTCAATACAAAAAACACCTAAAAATACACATTAAAAAAACGAAACAAACATATTAGTTTTCCTGTCACTTCTATTGTTCTTATGACAAGTGAAATTTCATTCTTGCCACTACTAAAATTTAAGGCCTTTGTTTGTTTGTCGTTTCATTTTACTTTTTGTCTCATTTTACCTCTTAAACACAAATTTCAATACATTTTCCAAACATCAATTTAATTTATCTTTTAAACTATTATAAAGTTTAGTACCAATGGTCACCAAATTATTTTAAATTTTTAAGTTTGGTCATTAAACTATTGTAAAATTTAGTGACGGTGGTCACTAAACTATTGTAAAATTTTAAGTTTGATCACTAAACTATTGTAAAATTTTAAGTTTGGTCATTAAATTATTGTAAAGTTTTAAATCTGGTCACTATACTATCCCACTTGCAAAAAATAGTCACTATACTGTAATAGTTTTTAAAAATTCACTAAACTATATTTTAAATCTCCTCCCAAATTCATATGAAAAACTAAAACAAAACGTTATCCCAACATCAGCTAAGACTTTCAAAGTAGATTCCGAATATAATAAATTTCAAAGATGTATATTTCTTGACATGACCTAAATAAAATGTAGGAATCGAAATCGAAATGCACATAAAACAAAAAATACTATTACAAAAATAATAAATTATGGACGTTGATGTTTAGTCAGAAGAAGCAAGAAAAAAAAAATTATGACTACACTATTAAGTTGAGAGAGTTTTGGCAAGTAACTAGTAAAAACTTAGGTAGGTATGACTAATAATGTAAATTAATCGCCTAATTGCGATTGAATATGCACTAATTAAATGAGAAGCCTCCAAATGGCCCCCATTAGTGAACATAATATCTGGTTAAACCATTTGTTTAAATTTAACATGGGGTTATAAGGGGTGACACCTGTTAAACTTGGATTAATCATGGAATCTAAGCAAGTGTTTTGGTTCGTTGGTTACTTCAGTAATTGTGATTTGTGAGTGTTTCAGCACCACAAGTTACAGTTTAGTGTAAAACTAGCTGGCCTTTTGTTTAATACTATAATAACTTTATAAAATTATGGTACGAAAATTTTAATAATAATTTTTGTTGTACTACGATGGAGTGATACATGATTGTGTCTGATATGTGTGTCTGAGCTGGAACCCGAGTGACGGACCACCGGGGGAGGAATATATATAGCGGTGGTGGCCGTCACATTTTGGGCTGATTGGCCATTTCGTCCGCCGTCGATGGCCATCATGACTCCGTGGACGCGGCGACACTGACAAACAAAAATGACGTGTGTCATTTCTGCCCACTTTTTGTTTTTCCTTTTCTTGCGCCTTCACTGTGTCCTTGTAGTTTCATCATGCACTCCATGATTCAAAATTGCACTGCCTTATTTTCTTTTCTCTGTGGAAACCGCCCAAAATTAAACTTACGTAAATAAAATTATTTCGTACATACTCGAAACATAACAAGGAATCATGTTGTAATTTCAACTTTGGGAGTTTGTAATAAGTATATTTGTATTTATTAAATTTAGTGAAACATGAAGATAAGAAAGCACGGACTGATTTCTTATTATTCTGTTTTGTACTCGTGAGTCATGATTATCATTAATTTATTATCGATGGTGATACTGTAAGTATTATTATTATTATTATTATATATTAAATTAATAAAGAAAAAGATGTGAATAAAAAGAAGAAGGTGAATTTCATGTGAATGGTGCATAAAAATGGGCATTTTGTATTTCTAACAACTACTACAATAACTTGTAATAGATTCGAATGAATTTAATCAAATCATCAGCAGTTAAAGTTCTCTGCTCAAATAAATCAATCCCAACACATGATCGTGTCTACATCTTTGACAACCAATTGCTTTCACATAAATCAGAGCAAAATGGCCATCTTTTTGTGGAAAATCAACGCAATTTGAAAGAGACGTTTTAGAAAGGAACACCCCAAACGTTTTCTTCTCCAAGTTGGTCATAACTCATAAGTAATCGTGAACATTGTATTTATATCACCTATGACCCACGTCAGACTGCACTTGCTGAATAAAAAATCATTCCGGCAAAGTGAAAACCAAGCACAAAATTTACAGTGTCATATTAGGGTTGATTCACGATCCAATTCTGAATAGATAGTAAATGTGACATTATTTAATTCGAAACGTAATGATACATGTACGGGAAATCATATTCCACGTCACCTATTAGGTCTTGTTTGGCCAACTTCTATTTTGCCTTTTTTTGTCTCAGTTTACCTGTTAAACACAAAACTCAATGTACCATCCAAACAACATTTTAACTTACCTTTTAAAAACTATTTCAAAAATTATTTTTACACAATTTTCGTCCATCACCACCTGACCACCTCCACCACCGCCGGACCGCTCGGCCAGATTCCGGCCAAATTCCGATGCGTTTGCCGAAATTTGACGGAATCCAGCCGGCGGCGGTCTGATGGCAGAGGAGGTAGTCTGGTGACGGAGGTAGATGGTGGAGGTGGTCAGTGGTGATAAAAAGATAATATTATCCCTTTTACCTTATTAAAGCAGAATACAGGATGTTGATGTGGCAACTTCTTATTAAAAAAATTTGGCTCCAAATGCACCATATTGCTTTAACCATTCTGCCACGTGTCATCCTTTTTTTTTAAAAAAAAAAAAAAAAACTTCTTATTCGGAAAAACAAAAGCTAATTTACAAAAATAGTTACACAATTTTCACCCATAACACTTATCATTTATCAATCAAATTAAGATAGGATTTAAATTTGTCCATAAACTTATCCCTTTTATTACTCCACATTCTTTTGTATGATTTCTGCATCGGTGTACTTTTTAATATTTTTTCTTCTTTTGCAGATGATTTTTTATTTTTATTTTTATTTATGGCTAAAAAGGAGAAAAAATAAATGTGTAGCTATTTTATTTTTTCCAAATAAAAAATTCATTTATCTATTAACACAAAATTAAAGTAGAGGGAGCGTCTGGGCATCTGCCTGGGCCAAGCATCTAGTTCTAATTAAAAATCTATCCAAACAATTTTTAAAATTTTCTCTCAACACACATTTTAAATCACATCTCAAACTCAAATAAAAAACTAAACCAAAACGCAAAATGAGATGTTGGCCATACAACAAGCAACCTCTCTTAATCTGGATATAAAATTCTTGTACTTTATAAAAATGTTTGTCAATTAATTTTTAGTTAGAACTCAGGGTTGTTTGACCAATATACATAAACTTTTTTTAAAAAAAAATTGTATGTCACAAAGCTGAATATACATAAGGTTGATTTTTATTTTTTAATTTTTCCGTGTATGGGAGGATGATCTTAGTTAATGATTTTATTCTCTATCTCTCTTTTCATTAATTTGGCTTGGATTTTTTAATATGTGGCGAGACGTGTAAGTAAGAACATTAAAGATCGATGCTCTTGGAAAAAACTTGGACGAGTCTTCTCATATAGTAATATAAGTAGTTCTCAGCAGTGTTATATATAATTCTCAAATCTCAATAATCCGATATTTTATCACTTTGTCGATCGTGCAAAGGCGCAATTCTTTTGACTAATGCCAGGGTTGAATTTTAAAGACTAGACAAAAAAAAAAAAACTAACTAAAATTAGTACGTCTCCAAGAAAAAAATTAGTAAGCTTTGATGACGAAGCAAACATGCATGGGCAGCATGGTAATATGGAATAGAATGTCATGATTTATTTCACTTATTGTAGGTTTATTCAAAATTTAGTTAATCATTTGTTAAGTTTGAGTTGATCTTCAATTTAAACACTCAAATGAAACCTTTGAAGGTAGATTGAAGTTTTGACATTGGTTATATTAAACTTAAGGTTACTATCATCCTCGTACATTTGAAGTTTTGAACCATTTTAATTGTTAAACCAAACAGAATCTCTAGTAAGTACTAGTAAATGGTTACTTTTATTTAGGTAAGCGAACAACAGTTTTTATACACTGGACTGGAGTATGATTTTGAAAGTATTGAGGTAGTATAAAGAAAATTTTATATTTGCTTGGGCTTAAAATATGATTTACACTGACATTTTTAACCTTTCTTCAATGTAAAGAAATTATGGAGAACAGGGTCATTTGCCATTCCCTCACCCACAACATCCTGACTACGGCTTCTTAACATCCTGCCTAATGTTTTTCTTTGACTTGATTGAACTCCTTTAAAGATAAGGGGTTCTCCATAATTATTTGTTTGAACTCGAAACATATAACTTACTTATAATAAGATAAACTCTTTACCATTTAGTCCTAACAAATTGTGAGTATTTCTTAACTACATTTTTAGTGGCAACTAGACCTTATTTCTTTTATCCGAGATAGCTATTTAATTTAATATATTTTTACGAGTAGTCCTTTTGAGACGAAATAAATATTATTTTAGTATGACAAATAGTCACTTGAGACATGAGTGATAGTTGTAGAACAAAGAAATGCGAGCTTAAATCAAGATTAAAATTTATCAATGAAAAATGATTATATGGGAAAGATTTGACCCAAAACCTGCAAACTTTGCAAGTGGTGCATTACATTCGCAATTTTCTTTTTCCCGAAGAAATTATTAAAAAAAAATGACAAAATGACAATTGGGCCATCTATGGGGCTTAAAACGATAGAGGTTGCAATACTTGGGCCCTTTCCTTTCCCGAGGACGGACCGGGCCCCCGAAGATGCGGCACCACCGCGTGTCCGCTAAGCACAGATGTCACGCCAGCGCTTGTCCGCCAAGTAAACCTCTCACGTGATAGGCACATGCTAAAAATCGTACGGTTCTCCAGTTACACGAGAGCTGGAAATTGAAAAGAAAACCAACCAAAAAAAGAAAACAAAAAAAAAAAACTGATCGATCGATCCTTCAGGAAGATTCAGTTCTGAGTTAACCAGAAAACGGTTCATGTAATTTCTTTCTTCCTCGTTTGAATTCTCTTCAAGGTGAGCCTTTCTAAGATATCCCTTTCCATTTTCCGCCTGTTTATCTTGGATTCTGTCTTCTTGTGGGGTGTTAAATCCATCTGCATGTTTCAAGCATGTTCTAAATCCCCCAATTGGGAGAGTTTTTGGGATTTTATGTGTTGAATTGTTAGTGTTTCTCCTTCGGTCTGGGAATCTTTCCGAGTAGAGTTGTGGGTTGCTTAATTGGGTTATTCGGGAAGAGTGTGCTTGATTTGTTTGCAGGATATTTTTTGTGCCTTTAAGTTGTATTATCTGTTTGTTAACAGTATATTTGGTGTAGATTTTCTATGACGGTAACAGAAACAGGAATGAAAATAACTCTGCTAGCATTAAGGGAATTTTTTTTATTTGTTGTATTTAGTTGCCTTTCTGAGTTTAGATCTTTTATTTACATTTTTACTTGGATTTTACTTCTTCTTTCCTTACCTAGATTTTGCTGTTTCAGGCAAACTGCTACCTGAATTGTTCCAGTATGGTAAAAAAGTACTATGAATTCTTCATGGTGAGGAGAACTCTTGTAGAATTCATGATTGCAGTAAACTGAATGATTGGTGGTTATGTAGAAGTTGTGTGATATGATTAGATTCTAGATTTAGTTTGTAGCTTAACTTACAGTGCATAGAATTGTGAAGCGATTTGTGTGCTCTAGCATTATTCGTTCATTGATGTATTCGTTGATATTCTCTCCAGCTTTTGATACTGGTTGATAAAGCGGATGGAGTCTGAAAGCATCATGAATGCATCAGTTACTGATGAGGATGCTCGTACTGGTGAATTAGAGGCAGATTCGCTCAACAGGGACTCTCTTGAAGTTCTATCCTCGGGAGGAGACATGATGCCAGAACTGGAGAGTGCTGGGGAGGTGTTAACGAAGGTTGAACTGGAGTTAGCATGTTTCTCCGAGAAACTGCTGAATTTGGATATACTTGTTATGCATGTTGCATCAAGGGAAGGGGATTTTGAAGCTTTTCTTTATGAGGAGGAGAACAAGTTTGATGATTCTGCAAGAAATGCCGTGGAGTTCGATTTCTTATCTGGATTTTTGGAATCAGAGCTGAAGGAGGTAGATAGTTTTGTATCATCTCTTCAAGTGGAAATTGATAATGCCCGTGGAACGGTATTCTCCCATAAGCATTTGGGTGCTTTTGAAGACATCCAAGAGAAGTTATTGGACTGTGACAAATCCTTGAAGCAGTCATTGGAGCAGGTTTCAGAAATAAAGGCACAATCAGACAGTTTTCAGAGAATATTATTTACGTCCACTGGAGGTAAATTTTGTAAGTATCTCATACCTTGATATTCCACTGCTGACTTGTACGAGGGTAAAGAGCTGTTCTAAATTTAGAGTAAGATCAATGTGCCATAATTTGGAAGTTGATGCATTTTACAAACATCATAAATATATATTGTTTATATAGTAAGCATATAGTCTTTTGCAGATTTGATGGACAGCAGCCTTAGACCCTTCGTTGATCAATATATTGGTCCATGTGGCACGTAGGGCTGCTTAAAAAAGCTGGCCGTACTATTCATAAGATTTAATGAAAACAACTTTTGTTAATTTGAGTTCATCTTTCACAGTAGAAGGATGAGTTATGAGTGTAAGCTTTTGCATTCCCTACAAATCCCATTTTAAGTGTCCATGTGAATTAAAATGTCAAATTATTTTCTCCGTCGTATTATGAATTCACATGATCAATATGGGAAAGAATTCTCATTTGAGCCAATAGTCTAATATGAAAATAATGGTGATAGCGAATATGGTTTTCTGTTTCTTTGTCCCCGTTAGAAAAGAATTATGTAAAGTGGAAACTGTCTGATTGTGTCTGATTCTGTTTCCTTGTCTCAGTCATTGTAAATCATGTTCTGTAAAGTATCCAGTGCAGTGAGAATTTTTCTGTATTATGCAGTAAAGCATGGGAAGAACGTGGAGGTTCTTGAAAATGGGCATTCCCCTGACTTGAGCTCAAAGATAAAAATGCAAACTGTTGAGCAGCAGAGGCATATCTTGAAAATGTTTGAAAAATCTCTGGCAAGAGAGCTCGATCTCGAAAAGAAGTTGACTGATCTGGGACAAAGTGAAGAGCTTCTGAAGCTTAAGCTGCAACAAGAAGTTTTCTGCATGGAAGAAGAAGTAGAGGTTGTTTCAGAGAAGTTTTTTGAGGCAGAAAATGCGTCCGAGGTCTTTATGAGGACGTCAAGAGAACTGTTGAGTCTAATCCAGATATTAAAGTTCAATTTGAATGGTTTTGCTCAAAGGGAAGGAGAGATGAGATCCAAGTGTGAAGAATTAAGTGAAGAATTGAACATGAAAGATCTTGCCCTGCAGAATTTTGAGAAAATAAATGAAGAACTCAAAGTGAAATGTGCTTCACTTGAGAAACTTGTGGAGGAATCTGAGTTTCAGCTGGGTAACTTGAAGGAGTATTCAGACGAAAATAAGGACTCTCATGATAAGGTTCGTGAACTGGAAGACGTGATAAGGAAATTGAAAGAAAATATTTCTGAAGCAGAAAAAAGGGCTGTGAGTGCAGAAGATGTGAACAAATTGCTAAAAGATGCAAATGCAGAGCTTATGAAAGACCTGAGTCTTGTTCAAAGTAATCATTTTAGTACCTCAGAGAAGGTAAATCTACTTGAGAGGCAGTTGAGGGAGTCTGATATTAAACTACAACATGCAGTTGCAAGTGCTGAAGCAAGTGAGGAGAAGCAGACCATGTTGTATTCAACTATTGGGGATATGGAAAATTTGATCAAAGACCTTAAGTCAAAAGTTTTAAAAGCTGAAAGTATGACTGATAGTGCAGAAGAGAAATGCATTATATTGTCAGAAACCAATGAAGAGCTGAATGAAGAAATTAATTTCTTAAGGAGTAGAATTGAGAGCTTGGAAGCATCCCTACATCAAGCTGAGGAAACCAAGAGAGCAGCAGCAAAGAATATTGGCCTTCGAACTGAATTAATAAGGGATCTGGTCATGCAGGTGGCTTCGGAGAGAAAACGCCTACATGAGCAGGTTTGACGAACTCTAATCAGTCTAAACTTCATTATGCTTTGCAATATACCAAAATCGATGAGGTCTTAATAAGACAACCCCGGCATGTCCACTTAATTTCCCCTTTTTCTGTAATTCCCTATGCATGTACATTGGTTCTTAACTCATGGACCTTATTCCAACTTTTTGTTTCCCTGTAACAGAGGGTACACATTATGCAGGGGATACGCTGTTCCCCTGTTTTATGGTTTGAGCTTAAAAAAAAACCAGCTGTTGACTTTTTTCTGTTTTTCATGTATCAATATGCTTCCTTGCCTGTATGCAGATAAATCTGCTGAAGGTGGAGAAAAAGATTCTCGCAAGGCGTGTACAAAATGTGAGCAAAGATCATTCGTTTACTTCGAGCAAAGAGAAAGAAGATATTGTCAAAGCTTTTCCAGCTGCCACCGATAACATTGCAAGTGCAACTTCTAATGAAGAAATTAAAAGCAAAGTGACTGAGGTCTTAGCCACGAATGAGAAAGTAAGTGCTTCACTTGTTAACTAATCGTGCCTTTTAATTGAAGTCGACTGCACTTATCCTCCCTTCGGATTCGTAGATAAATATCAAAGAGAAATTTGTCTGTATGGCTTTCTTTTATCACATCCATAATTGGCCGAGTTAGTGCTTCAATTAGGTGTTACTGTATCTTGCTGGAAATTACTTGTCTTAGTAGTCAGTACTACACTATATCATGTATATCGATGCGGCCTTTTGCCACTCCCATATCGTAACTTTCTGAATCCTACTCAAATATTGCTTGGGATGGTTGTTTAAAACTACATCTAATGCTTTGCTGTTGCTGTTCGTTCTAAGATTTCATACTAGATGCGAAATTGCTTTATATTATTTTATCCTCTGATTAGTGGCAGACAATAATAGCTGTTCATTCTAATGCTTTCTTGTTGTGATTTTTTCAGCTTGACATATCTGAGGCGCAGGCGCACTCGGCAAATGCTGAAGAGCATGCGGCTGAAATAACACCACTTGAGCTTGACACCGTGAGGAATATAGATCCAAGGGAGCTCAGATCCAAATACATTTTCCGAGCACTTTTGGTTGTTATCATACCGATTTTAATAGCTGCCTTTTACCCACATCTCCAACAGTGAAGTTAGTTAGCAGAGAAGCCTGTTGCAGTTCCACTCATGACGTCTGAAGACACTTTAACCATTTAGGGTTGCTTTGTTGATAAAAATGGGTCATACTTGTTCCTTTTAGGTTAAGGCTTCCGTTGTTAATAACTGAGGAAATTTTGTTCTGGTGGTAAATATAGGCGTTGAAAGTTTTGTTTTAAATAATTCTCCCACGACCTTTCATTTTTTCATTCAGAATTGTGGTAGGCTGGTAGTGAATCGTTGAAGAATGAAAAATTACAATGTCCCCAAATATCTTACCATATTCAATGTGGGAGGAATCAACTTACCTCCACGATTCCAACCCTTTCCTTTCCTGCACTACTTTTCTAAGGTTTTGAGAAACGATGTTTTTTGCAACTATTTTAGTGAGGAGGAATGCTGGTACCTTATGCAGTTATGTTGTGTACTCATTCTAGTGATTGAGTGAAACTACATTATCTTTAGGAACTAGGCATTTCTCATTCGCGCATACCGCAAATTACCCCTACATTTCTAAATTCAAACTGAGAAGATAATGAAACTTATAAACAAACATGAACTCTTGTTATGACCGAATGATTTCCAACCCAAACGAGCTGTGTGTATTTATTACATCACGTGTGGAAAAATGGAATGCACCAAACATTGGCAAAAAACTGCTTCTCAATACCGAGAACTCCATCGTCCAGAATGTAGGCTCTTAGAATATCTGGTACAATTGTACAAAAACATAACTCTTAATTACCTTGCTAAGGAATAAATAAAGAATGCTAAACATTTCATAAGATCAGACCCATAAAAACATTGATCCTAAGTTATTAATTTTCGACGAAAGCCCTCTTTCCTAAGAAAGACAGCAATGTTTACCTAGGATATGATTAAACACCTTTGAAACTAACAACCGACTCTTACAAAATGCTTGTGTTCACATTGCTTTGCCACACCACATACCATTTTGGATTGCCTAAGTCATCCACATCAGATTTTGACAAAACCCCCTTCAGCGGCGAAACGCATTTACTTCAGAGGCATCTGATCTGCCCTGCAAATAGTGAGTTCGGCGCCGAACACTCTCTTCTATGGTAGATGATCCCCCTTTGTCTGTACCGTATACACTTTTCTGAACATCATCTAAGAAGCTTCGGCCCTTAGATGTCCCCGCACGAAACGCCTCCTGGTTATCATTTTCCTCTGCCTTCTTTATGCGCTTCAATCTGTGCTTTTCATGGATTTCAGCATCCATCTGCATCTCCCGCAGCCTCGCAGCTCTCTCTTCTTCCGATAGCTTAACAGGTTTCCTATGCCTACCATTATTCAATGGTTCATACCCCCTTCGACGGCTAATCTCAGAAGAAGAATCAAACTTGCTGTCATTAGGGAATCTTTTCTCTTTGCTGTCGCACTTGCTGGAATCAGATTCCCTCCGGCTTTCCCGATAAGCATCTTCTTTTTGAACATCTTTGTATTTAGCACTAGTTGATTGTCGTCCTTCCCCACTATTTAACTCATCCTTTGAACTCCGAGAAGCCTTGTACGAGCCTCTACGGCTAGTGGATTTTCTCCGTTCTCTGGAAGCAGAATCCTCAGAGTCAGAATGGTGTTTTGATGATGAATACTTCTTTCTCCCTTCCTTAGGATCAGAATCCTCGGAGTCAGAATTGTGTTTCAGTGATGAATACTTCTTTCTCCCTTCTTTGGGATCAGAATTCTCAGAGTCAGAATGATGTTTGGACGATGAATGCTTCTCGTGCTTCCTTTTGTGACGCTTCTTTCTGGATGCTTTCTCAACATCTTCATCATTGCTATTTTTCTTGTTCTTTGTGGCCTCAACCTAAAATGTGACAACAGATATATATTAGTCACAGGATTAACAAAAACATGAATGATTCAAACTCATCAAATACAATATTGTGTGTGACAGGTGAATGAAGGAAGCCAAGACCAGGTATTCAAGATATACTCACCGATTTGCGAATCATGGCCATCTGAATAGGATTATTCTTAACGCGAGTAAGCGCTTCCTGCTCCCTCTGACGAATCAAAAGCAAAGGATCTGAATGGAGTTTTCTCCAGGCATCACTGGATGATTGCTGTTTGTCCTCGAAAAGAGCTCCCGGTACTGATTGCTGCTGCTGCTGCAACAGAAACGCAAAGATAAAAATGACTAATGAATGATGCATCACCTGATAAGTGCAAAAAAAAAAAAAAACCCTAGTAACCAAACAAACCATAAACATATGATAAAGCAGCATCTTACCTTAGAGGCAGATGTGGAAGCGGGCGTATCAGTAGGCTTGGGAGGTAATGATTCAAGGGCCTTGAAACCACCAGAAGAGCTGCCTTTTCCAACTGCCAATCCCGAATCGTACAGAAATTCCAATCTCTCCTGTCTTCTGTGCTTTCACAAAAGGCAAAAATTTAGAAATTGGGGGAAATCTCTTAGCAAAAAACCCTAATTCAATCCAATCAAAGTTTAATCGAACTTTCTAAACAGAAAAAAAGAGGGGGAAAAAAGAATCACAGATACGTACGGGACGAGACCGGCTTGTTCCTGAAGGAGTCTGAATTCAGAACGTTCCCTCTCTTCTTGAATCTGCTTGCGAAGCTCTTCCAACTTTTTCTGTTCGGCTTCATGTTTCTGCTCCGCTTTCCAAACGTTCTCTATATTCCGTAGACTGCCCGTATGCCATCCCTTCTTGTTCAGAAATTTGAGCGCCATTTGCCGTCGCCGGGAATTAGATCTGCCCAATCAACCGACTTCAGCAACTGCTCCGTTGAAGACCCGGTGAAATTATATCTCAGGTAAAAAGAAAATCCTGTTCCGCGGGGGCTATATATTAGGTATAGTAACTCTAAAATTAAAAAGTGTATTATTTCATATACTATTTTATAGGGCGAATATCAAAACCACCCTCGAGGTTTAACCCATTATCAAATACACCCTCGTAGGTGTTAGAAATATTGATAACCCCCTTGACTCCTCGAACTTGAAAGTCAAACGCTAAGACAGGTAAAATGACAGAAAGACCACAACCAATCAGGTGGAAATTAGTTTTTCACTTATCAAAACATATCCAAAATCCAAAGTTAACTAGTTGCTCTTCCTTCCATCTCTAGTTTATCCCATCATTTTCTCATCTCTCTGAGCCAATTATATACATTCCTTCACAACAAGCACATCATTCAAATTTAATAACTCTTTAAATACTACGATTTTAATCATCGTGAGAATAAGTTCATTCGGATACTCTTTGGTGAGATTAGAGGGACTGTGATTGATAAATTTTATGGTGATGGGTATTCACAAATTGGGCGGGGAAAATGATTGTCGGTAGGAATGAGGTCGATTACGGCTCCGGATTTGGATTTGCATTTGGATGATGGGATTCGCCAAGGATTAGAGAACATGACAGTAAGCAGGGATCGAGATGTTAGTTTCATTCGCGATGCTTGAAACCCGTCAATCTTGTCATGGTGGATTCTTTCTATACCTTATGCATGGATTAATAGTGGCAGAAAGTTTGGATGATCCAGAGCAAGAAGTGGTAGTTTTGCTGCAATAAATGTTATGAATGTTGTCGGAGATTGATTGTTTTGGTGGTTTGTAGAGGGATATATCTGGCCAAACATACTTTGGACAGATAAAAGGAGGGCATATTAATCTTTACACTGTCGTTTTCTTTTTCTTAGGACGTCATCTTACCGGTACCAAAGGATCATATTGATAATCAAAGACATAGCTCAAGGATGTTATTGATATTTCTAATACCTTTGAGGGTATATTTGATAATGGACTAAACCTCGGGGGTGTTTTTGATATTCGCCCTGTTATATATACTGTATAATGTAGTATAATAATATAAAATCCTGGGCGGGATTCAGCAACAGAAGACAGGTAAAAGGTCCCGCCAAGCATGAATCCAGCGCCAACGTTGGATGGCTTCTCGGACATGGCAATCTGTACGCGTCCTTCTTCTTCCAAGGAAGCCTTCATCAACTATTTGGGCATTGCCCATTCGGGCGTTTTCCAACTCTCCAGCCTCCAACAGCCGTATGACGTTTTCGCATATCTTTCAAGAATGCTCGATTCAGAGAGCTTTCGGACCGGGAAAACAAGCCCATGCCAGAATGTTAATCACTGGGTTCAGACCCACGGTCTTTGTATCGAATTGTTTGCTTCAAATGTGCGTGAGGTGCTCCGACTTAAAGTATGCCTATCAAGTGTTTGATAGGATGTCTGACAGAGACACCGTTACCTGGAATACTATGATTTTTGCTTATTCTGCTGTTGATATTGGGATGTCTCAGTCACTTTTTGATTTGATGCCTGAGAAGGACGTGATTTCCTGGAACACTTTAATCTCGGGTTACCTGCAAAATGGAGATTACAGGAAACCTGCTCAGATTTTGGTGGAGATGCAAAGAGAGAGCGTGGCTTTGGATTGGACTACTTTTGCTGTTGTTTTGAAAGCTTGTTCTGGTGTGGAGGATTATGAATTGGGGGTTCAAGTACACGGTCTTGTTGTTAAGTTGGGTTTTGAGTTAGATGTGGTGGCAGGTAGTGCACTCGTGGACATGTACGGTAAATGCAAGAGATTCCATCACAGTCTGAAATGTTTCGATGAACTTCCTGGCAAGAATAGTGTTTCGTGGAGTGCTGTCATTGCGGGTTGTGTTCAGAATGATGAGTTTGTTCGTGGATTACAGTTATTCAAGGAGATGCAAAGAGAGGGTGTTGGCGTGAGCCAATCTACTTATGCAAGTATCTTCCGGGCATGTGCAGCCGTGCCCAAGGTAAGATTGGGATCGCAATTGCATGGTCATGCAATCAAGAACAATTTTGGGAAGGACATCATAGTTGGAACTGCCACTTTGGATATGTATGCAAAATGTGGCAATTTGTTATGCGCTAAGCAGGTGTTTGACTGGCTGCCGAACCGCAGTTTACAATGTCATAATGCCATCATAGTTGGATATTCTCGACATGACCGTGGACTTGACGCTTTGAAGATCCTTAAACTTTTGTTGAAGACCAACCTTGGTTTCAATGAAATAACCTTATCTGGTGCATTCAGTGCTTGTGCAGCAATTAAAGGTTTAAACGAGGGCAGTCAAATACACAGCTTAGCTCTTAAGAGCCCTTTCATGTTTGATGTTTGTGTAGCAAATGCTATTCTTGACATGTATGGAAAATGTGGAGTATTGTTTGACGCTCGATGTATATTTGATGAAATGGAAATAAAGGACGCCGTATCGTGGAATGCAATCATTGCAGCTTATGAGCAGAATGGTAATGAGGAAGAAACTGCAATGCTTTTTGTTTCTATGCTTCAGTATAATATGGAACCTGATGAGTTTACCTATGGTAGTGTGGTAAAAGCTTGTGCAGGTCAACAAGCACTAAGTCGTGGCATGGAGATTCACGGCCTGATCATTAAATCCGGGATGGGGCTGGAATCATTTACTGGAGGTGCTCTTGTGGACATGTACTGTAAGTGTGGAAAGGTCGAAGAAGCTGAGAAGCTTCATGATAGAATGGAACAACAATCAACTGTTTCATGGAATGCTATGATTTCTGGCTTCTCATCACGTGAGCAAAGTGAGGAAGCTCAGATGTTCTTTGCCAAAATGCTTGAAATCGGAGTTGCACCTGATAATTTCACCTTTGCCACTGTTCTGGACACATGCGCCAATCTGGCAACTATTGCACTTGGAATGCAAATCCATGCTCAAGTAATCAAGCAAGAGTTGCAGGCGGATGTTTTCATAACTAGCACCCTTGTTGATATGTACTCAAAGTGTGGAAACTTGCAGGATTCAAGATTGGTATTCGAAAAAGCCCAAAACCGTGATTTTGTCACATGGAATGCTTTAGTTTGTGGCTACGCGCAACATGGTCTTGGGGAGGAGGCTTTGAAAACTTTTGAAAAGATGCAACTTAATCATGTAAAACCAAACCATGCAACGTTTGTTGCAGTTCTCCGAGCTTGTGGACATATAGGACTGGTTGAGGAAGGGTTACACTACTTCAACTCCATGCAAGTTTACTACGGGTTAGATCCTCAGATGGATCATTACGCATCCATGGTGGATATATTAGGTAGGGCGGGCCGAGTTACTGAGGCTTTAAAGCTTATTCAAGAAATGCCTTTTGAGGCTGATGATGTAATTTGGCGTACACTGCTGAGCGTGTGCAAGATGAAGAAGAATGTAGAAGTGGCGGAGATTGCAGCAGCTTCTCTTCTGCAACTGGATCCTCAAGACTCTAGCACCTGTGTCCTTCTTTGCAATATTTACGCTGATGCTGGAATGTGGCATGAGGTAACTGAGGTAAGAAAACTGATGAGGCACGGACGCTTCAAGAAAGAGCCTGGTTGCAGCTGGATAGAGGTGAAATCTGAGGTACATATGTTTCTTGTTGGGGACAAGGCTCATCCAATATATGAAGATATATTTGATAACTTGCACCTGCTAGTAAATGAAATGAAGTGGGATGGAAAGGCATCTGACTCTGAGGGAACAGAGGAGGAGTTAGAATATGAATCCATTTAAAAGGTCTACTGCTTTTGAGAATCCTCTGCCCAAGGAGGGAAGTATATTTGCCCTGCTAAAAGTTACATATCATAGCCAAAGTGACATTCTTTTCCATTTTATTTGGTCAATGTGTCGATCTGATTCTAACAGGAGAAAAATGTAAGAGGGGTTTTTGTTAACAGAAGAATTCATAGGTTGAAGAGTAAGTTTGGTCTGCAATACTTTCATGTACTAAATGCAATTTTGAAGTGGAATTATTTATTCAACCTGTAAAAATGTTACTCTTATCCTCTCAGAATAAGAGTTTTGTTTATTGTGTTGAAATAGTTCAATAAACATGACTTTTTTTTAAAGACGAAAAGAGCATTAATTTAAAGGTAAATTATAATCTAAGTATCGGTATTACTATTTCCATTGATGTAACAATCTAAAAAAATTTCACTAATGAAATTAAATTATTTTGAATAACAATGTGATAATACGGTTGACCAACTGTTGATGGTTCACAAGAAATAGTCAATTTTAAGGCTAAATTTATTGGTTTAGGACTCTTGGTTCCCTTGAATATTGTACAACCAGACAAACTTCTCACCAACGTACTGTAAAATTTTATAGAAGAAAAAAAAGCAAAAAAAAAAAAAAATAGAAACACGCACACACACACTTGTCGAACCGTTCCCACCCAAAACGAACAGAAACTGGTGGTGAAAAAAAAGTAACGCGCCGTTGCTTAGACCTGAAGGGAACATCTTTATGATCAACCCAACTGCTAGGGCAAACAGTTCTTAAAATCAATCGATTTTGCAATTTTTGATCTGACTTCTTGCCGGTCGTTATTGATGGCGGGTGCATCAAACACTAGCCAATTGCACCAACAAAACCCACCGTCGACCGCCGTACTCCGCCACGGAATTAGTACCATTGAGGAGAGGGAGGCGGAAACCGGGCCCAGCGTCGACCCCTTTGATTTTCACGCTCTTTCTCCGCCTAACCTTTCCTTCGTTGTGCCCTCCAGCTACGGAGATTTTGGTTTGACCTGTTCCGGAACCGTGTCTGAAAGATTCGAATCCGTTCACTCGGACTGCAATTTCTTCCACTACCGAGGAGGAGGAGATGAAGACGATGATGACGATGATGACGATGACCAAATGAATTTCGTTACGGATTTGTTTGGGACGCGGCAAGGCTCATCAAATGATCGGAATCGTTTTCAAATCGGATCCAATTGTAGGGATATGGTTGAAGAACCGGAGTTAATTTTAGGGTTAGGTTCTTCCAATACGATTGCCTCAATTGATGGCCTTCGGGTCGCAGGTGTGGATTCTGAGTCCGATTCTGAAGATATGGAGATAGATTCTGGCGGTGATCATGGTAGGTTGATTCAAAACGATGGTTTGGGGTCACCCGATTTTTGGGATTGCCTGCAATTCGACGGTCAACGTGAAAGGGGTTCTTTTACTGACGAATTCGAGTGGGAGGAAGTCAACATTCGCGAAAATATGACATCTTTGATTGACAGAATCGAACAACTTTCAATCTCATCCTTCAGCGAAAGTTCACCTTTTGTCAATGAAGAGGAAGAAAATGCAAGGAATATTGAGTGGCAGGTACTTTTAGCTGTTAATAATCTGGACTTAGGATCCGGGTACGATGAATACAATGTACAGTTCGGGGAGCTTGTGGGAGAGGATGGTAATGTAAGAGGCGGTCCTCCAGCTGCCAAAACAGTGGTGGAAAGCTTGCCTTCAATCGTGCTGACAATTGAGGATTTGGCAAAGAGTAATGTGGTTTGTGCAGTTTGTAAGGATGATATACCTGTAGGGCTAAATGTGACTAAGCTGCCATGTTCTCACCATTATCACAAGGACTGTATTTTGCCATGGCTAGCTATTCGCAATACCTGCCCGCTTTGTCGCTTTGAGTTGCTCACAGACGATGCAGATTATGAGAGAAGGAAGAACAGCGATGATGCAGTAGCTGGTTCTGTTGATCAAGATGATTCGCAAGTTAGGTATCATTATCAACTTTTTCCTTTAGAGTGATTTGCAATGTTATTTTGTAGAGGATTTTGCTGGATTGTTTTAAGGTGTCTATGCATTATTGTAAAGTTACAAACTTAGCTGGATTGTTTAAGTTTCTATGCACTATTGTAAAGTTACAAACTTCCAAGCAAGGAAGTATATCACTGTTAGACAGTTTTACAGAAGTCATGTACGTTTTTATGCCATCGACAGTAAATTGGGCAGTTTGCCTAAGGGTTGTAGCCATAAACAAATTGCAAGCAAGGGTTGCAGTATGCTGAAAAAAAAGTTCTGGTTGGAATCTAGTGCGAATGAAAACATGGTTGTCTTCTTCACGCTCACTCAATGAGATTTTGTTGTCTATTATAGAAATTGACTGCCACTTTCGAATGAGATAATTGAGTTGGGCTTAATCCAGTGATATTTATCTGCTTAAGTTCTTGCATGTTCCATAATCATTATAGGTATATGATTTTGTGGTTGTGAGGATTATAAGATTTGGCAGCATAGAGACTGATTAGTTTCAAGTGACACAAGCAATAGCAATGATACTGGCAATACATGGTCTGTTTAGATAGTCGGTGAAAAATTTGATCATGGCTTGCATTAGTGATGATGCCATTGTCGTATACTGTTAGCATAACCGCAGTTTCAGATTAGAACGATTGCTCATGGCTTGCATTAGTGATGATGCCATTGCAGTATACTGTTAGCATAAACACAGTTTCAGATTAGAACGAGCCGAAAAGTGAGAAACGCTTATTATAAACTTGCCATTTCTCGAATCCAGGATTGGAGGAAGGCCCAACTAGGGTATCCTTTTTGTTGCCTACAAATCCAATCAAACAGAAACCACTAATTTTCTCTTGCATGTTTTTAGTGAAGGATTTGGCTGTCGCTAGTGGCCTTCAAAAACGAAAAATCTTAACCCACAAGGATGATATTTTTCAAGAAAAGAGATGAAGGAGAAAGGTTCCTAAATGGTTTCAATGATTGTGGACTTGAATAACGAATTGCTACATGATTTGTACTTGACCTTTACGTGAAATCAATTAAACTAACTAGGAAACACCTAAACCCCAGACCCCATGAATAATACAAAGGGTTGTTGTTACCTTTAATGACTTGACGAATTTCAGATGACAACAACTACCATTGATGATGCAATTTGAATCCTGATTTTTCGCGTTATCTTTAACCTTTTCTTTTCTGGGATTTGTCACAATCAAAATCGAAATCTCAGCGAAGATCATAACCACTCCCCCCCTTAATAAACATTCTCATCATTCACAGTGATTCTAAGACAGATTTTATTCTGATCAAGTCAGAAAAAATATAAAAGATCTCAGCTCAAATATGGCTGCTTGCTAAACAGGCCAAGTCCCCCCTATTGAGTGGAGGGATTAGATTAGAAGGACTATAGGAATCTAGAGTTGCAGCAATTGAAACAGAGCAGCAAGACAAGATCAACAATGTCCAAAAGATAGGGTGCATATCCCCTTCAGTTTCACGCTACTGGGGCTACTGCAAATTTTACCTTAAAGTAGAGATAATCCATGGCCATCATCAATCTTCAGACAATTCAAACAACAAATAGACAAATGGGGATTTTGATTTTATCACACTTGTGGCTTTTTAAATAGCACCTGTCGACCAGAAATGGCGATTACATTTCCTGCCCTTACCAGTCGTCCAATTCTTCAACCGCTTTATCACATTTGTTAACAATGGCATAACATTGAAAAGTATAGACACATAAAAGAAAAGATGAATGTGTGGTCAACAGTTCCATCAAGGAGGACAGATGCAAGAACAACACAGTTACAAGAAATTGAAAAAAAAGAAAAGAGAGCCCATTTTCTTTAAATAAGCAAACAACTTTATTATCCACATTTTTTTGTGTTAGTGGGATTCAATACTTTTTTTTAATAACACAAGTACGCAAGCAAATATGAAGCCATACGTGCCAATTAGTGTTACTTAATTGTAGCACCTAAACAAGTATCTCTCCCTTACTTTTAAGCCATTGAACCAAATCAAGATAGGGAATTGAATTTTAAACACATTACAAAACAAAAGTGTCATTGCTCAACTTAGACTAAAAATCACTACTACTTTTTTTAAAATTGAAAGATCTTTTTAATGTAACTATACAAGGAAAAGGTGAAAACAATAGGAAAGAAATAAAGGGAGATGATGTCAAAGATGCCAGCAGAACACGCAGAAGCACAAGATTATTGCGAGTTTTATCCTGTTTCGACCAATCTCTTAGTGTTGCATGATTTCACTCAAACAATATAAAGACACATATGAGGACGTACTAAGGAATCAAAACACTTTCATGGCAAACTCTTTGAAAAAAAAAAAGATAAATCAAGATTATAAACTGTTTCACTTTTCTTCTCCGGAACATACGCCCCCCTTTAACTTTAGTGATCCAACTTTTCTTCCATCATGGTTCTTTTTTTGCACTGAATTGAATAATAATACGATGATGTATTGATCAGTCAATATAACTTAGTGTTAATGCCAAGTTGGTACTATCTTATGTTTTGTATTGAAGCTGCACTATCTAGTGATCCACAACAACCAGAAATTAACACAATAAGGTTGTGTTTCATCCAAGTGAGAAACGTTAAATCCATCAACATTCTGAGTAACCATCTCTGTTCTCTATTAAGTTGCATCTGTTACTGACTAGGTCTGTCAACATGGCACGAAAACACGATACGAACAAAATACGTCGAGCAGGTGAAAAACACAAACTTGTTTAATTAAACATGCGACTTGAAGATGTTCTAAACTAGCTCCAAGGCACAAGCGTGCTTCATTAAACATGTCAAACTCAAGTCATCTCGTTACCATCTAAATGACGATTAGCAACTTGAAAACGTTATAACTACCATAACTAGCAAAAGGACTATTGATGTGGCAAGGACAGTAACCTGATTGGGGCTGAAAACACATCAGTGTCGTTTCGGAATCATGCATGTTCACAACCGTGGAAGGAAAAAATTCGAAAGAGGTTGAGTAAGTGGGGTGCAAAAATGGGTAACAACAACATATGGTACGATTGACAGTACCACAAAAAATGAGAACCTGACCCTTTGATCCTGACCTCACTACATAGCACCTGAAAAACCCAAAATGAAAAGAAAAATGGCTCATCAGTAAAAAATGGTGGGAAAAAAATAAAAAAGGAAAAAAGAAGAAAACTCTGGGTTTTGTCGATGAATTTCGCGCGCGTGTCGAAGTGTATGTGGTTGGGACCTATGCACCCAAAGGCTTGAAATGACGGCACGCCACTCAGGAATCGAATTGGCGGACGGAGCACACGGCATCCACACGCTCTTGTTAGCAGCCCCAGGACCCCATTGGCCATTGCAGTAAAATCTCATCATGCGCCTGTCTTTCTCTATTTAGGCTTTGTTGGTACTTAAAAACAGGCAGCAGGAACAGGGCAGGGCAGGGCAGGGCAGGGCAAAAGCAGAGCAACCCTTCTTCCTACGCAGAGCCAGCTTTATTTCTCTTCAGGGGTAGTTTTGTTTTGTTTGTTGCTATTTTTTTCCTTGTCTCCCAAATGCTTGTGCCCCCATGATTCTGAATTGGATTTCTCTTTCGTTTCTTTTTCAGAAAGTGGAGCAATTTGTAGGGGTAATGTAGGTAAAACACAATGAAGATACGGGGCATGATTAGTGAAACAAAAGATAAGATACGGGTGACATGCTGCATGAGGGGGCCTTAAAAGTGGTGGGTTAATATGTTTTTAATCTAATCATTTCTTTCACATCTTCAGGGCGTTTTTTTTTTGTCTTCTTTCCCCTCCTCACCTTCGTTCTTCTCAACTTGAAAATCAAAAAGAAATATGCGGTTATACATATTAGAACGGTTAAACATCCAACTCAAAATCAATCGTCTACGAACACAGAAGTTCTATGAGGTTTTAGTTGCCTAGCAATAACAAAATGTTACAGGTACAAATTGACTCAGATAAAAAGGTTTTGTTCAGTAGTCCCTCCTTTGTGTGATTCTATAGCATCTACATTGTTTTTTAGCAGTAAATTAATCAGCTACATTGACAGCCATTTAAAGAAGTTTGAATGCAGCAGAAGCTACAATTTGGACCAAAACAGGGAAAATGGAAAAGATGAGCTTCATTATTGTATCTAAAAGACTTAAAATATCAGCATAAAAGGTGATGAAGATGAATGAAAAGATTACAAAGCATTAGCGAAAGGGAAAAAAAAAGCCCAGAAAGATAAAGATGAAGGCATTAATGTTTGAATAATCCAGATTGCTTTTGCTAGCCAAGACTAAATGTTGGAGAAACCATGCATCATCAACCTATATAATTAAAAAAATGTTGCATATCAATCAACACTTGCATAAAGGGTGTATGCTAATTTGCTAAGTTGCTACCAATCAGCCCTTTTTTTCCAGAGAGAAAACCAAAAAAAAAAAACTATTCAAAACTAGAGATAACAAGATGTTATTGAGAAAAATGCCAAGAAAGTTGGAACAGGGAAAGAACAATTGTAAGACAAGAATGAAATATGAGTCAATATGTGTCTGATGATTTTGTTGACCATTTAGTCCACTCAACCTGCCCAACAATGAAGTAAGGAGGGGGTAGCATTGGCCTCCATAGACTTTTGGTTTCTGGACGCATACAAACTTCTTTTTTATTAGTGGAGGACTACATTTTCCAAGTACATTTACCATCTTTCCCCCCTTAATCATCCTACCACCAATAACGCCATAGCAAGATCCTTTTAACTGCATTAAAATTTCGGTGAGTTTTATGGCCTAGAGTTACTTGGTACCTGGTTCGTTTGAAGATGGTTTTTTGATCAACTATGCATAGTACTGATGTTAATCAATTCAGATTCTTGCCCTCTGCTGAAGCTTACGGAAGGTGTTCGCTTCATCAGTTACTGCAGTGAAATGAAGGGTATGCCAACCAGTTACATAAAAGGACGGTACTAAGTTCGTTTTTACTCATGTTATGACCTTTCTCATACTGATTACAAACTAGACTCTGCTGATCAAGTAATATTTGAGAGAAAACCCGCGTTGTTGTGGAAGTCACTTGTGCATATGTGAGAAGTCAGTGATTAAGACATATTGCCTTATTATTGAGCTTTGATCAAGAAATTTATACGTAATCCAACTTAAAGGAAGATATTTCATCTGTGGGGTTACCACTGACTCCTCAATTAGAAAGATTAACCATTTATGTCAACCATAATTGAGCATTTATTGGCCCTCACAGCGCCACAACCAAGGCCTTGTATGCACAGAACCGCAACCAAGTCTTTTTCTCGCAAGGTAGGATTAACTATATGGACCATATGTAAATAATCGTGACATATTAAAAACCTTGTCTTCATTTAAAAAAATCTAACATTTACACGATTTCTTACATGATTCATCACGATACGACGAAGTTGTATACTCATAACCAACCAAATACAACTATCCTCTTGTATCTATGGTTTAAACTGAGAACTCTGAATTTGGGACTAATGGCTACGTGCCCGGAAGCTCTAGCCCTGAAACTGGAATGTGAGAAGAAAATAAAGAATGACTCAAGGAATGTTAAGTCTTCACAGTCATCTTTTATGCGCAAATCACATGAAAGTGGTTTCTTGAGTCATAAATTTTTTTTTTTCCTTTCATTAACAAATAGGAACAACTTGCCATCCCTAACCTACTTCCTCCCTCCTATTTTTGTCCTGTTCTTCTATCCATTCAAGCCACAGGACCTTGTTGGCCAAGAACCACTGCAGATAATATACATTTCTACCTTTGCTTTTCTTAAACTGACTTAAAATGAGCAGTGATAACAGCTACCCCATGGCTATTTTTTCTTCCAGAACTTTCAACCTTTAGTATAAATTATAATGATACTCTCCATGATAGTTTGTGAGTGCACGCATGTGTGTTGCTGAGGTGAGCACTGCTTTTTTTGATGTCCCCAATTATCCACAAAAAAACCTAAATTTTTCCAATTATATTTATATACCACAAAGAGAACAGAAATACAAAAATGATCACACATATAGGACAGAACAGCAGAAGTGAAACCTAAAATTTGAAAAATAGGTAAAGGCTGTAATAATCATTAGCGCACATACGTTAATAATAATACCACTCAAAGTTATATGCACAGTTGCACGTATTATTCACCACCTTAATTGTAGTGGTCTTGTCTTTAAGAAACTCCACTGTTGCCCAAAATTGACTAAAAATGAGGTCACCTAACCTTTTTAGTTTTTTCCAACCTATAAAATCCCCCCCTCTCCCTCAAGTTTCCATTCGCCTTTCCAACACCAATACCAATACAGACATTTTACAGTTAGCTCCCAAAACCAAAGCATTGTCCCTGAGTTGCATTTCTGAATCAGTACAAAAAAAATGATGCAACCAGGTGAAGCAACAGACTTGTACTACCTGCTGTCCTCTAGTCAAAATCAGTATCCATCCCATTTTAGCCTACCCAACAACAATATGCCTGGATTTCCATTTACCAGAACTCCAACAAATCCTCTGTATCAGTTCCAACTTACTCCCAACCAGATTCAAGATTTCAACCCTCAGATATCGTCTTTCAGTAGTAACTCAACTTCAGATGAAGCTGATGATCAACAACTGAGCATCATAAACGAGAGAAAGCAGAGAAGAATGATATCTAACCGAGAATCTGCTAGGCGATCGCGTATGCGCAAGCAAAAGCACCTTGATGAGCTTTGGTCCCAGGTGCTCTGGCTCAGAAATGAGAATCATCAGCTCATTGATAAACTCAACGACGCTTCAGAGCGCCATGATCGCGTGCTTCAAGAGAATACTCAGCTAAAAGAAGAAGCTTCGGAACTTCGCCAGATGCTCACCAACATGCAGCTCAACAGTCCATATCATAACTTGAGAGACCTTGACGATGATCCCTGCAAAGACTTGTCTGAATGACAAATAAAAAAAAATAAATCCCTATCCTTATCCCATCTCTCCATGCCAGGCCAAGATTTTGATTCCTTTCATTTCTTTCTTTCTATATTCCGCTGCAGTTAGTTATTATTATTTAATAAAATAACCATTTTCATTGTAAGGAGAAACAGGTCAGAGAAATGGTCTGGAAATCAGCTTTCAGATGTAAAATTCGCCATTATTCTTTGGCCTGTGTTATCTTTGTATCAAAAACTAATTTAGTAGCTTCTAATAATGAACTAGTGCTGTATTCTATGAAGCTTGTGTCTCCTCTTCAAATGCATGAGATCCATATATATATACACAGATTTAATGGGAGCCCAGAAGAAAAAAGGTTACTATGAACTAGCTGGATATCTCATATCAGCTGTCTAAGTCCAACTGTTGACAAGTTCTGCTGATGCCTCCTTCTTTGATGAGTCTATTCAATTACTGTGGCAATATGCGTACGTCACGGAACAATCACTGCGACGGATCCGGAAAAAATGAACAGGAGACTCACTATACATTACCAATGATGATCAAACTATTCAGCTTGTCAAATTGAGAACACCAGAGATAAAAACAAAACAGTTGCAGCTTTACTTTAGGTATTGTGTTTCAGATAATTTTACATAAAATGACGTCGGAAGCAACCATAAGCATGAATAGTTTATTCTTATCGACAAATAATATTTGTGAGGGGACATTGTGAGTTACATCTCTGAATTTACAATTCTCAACTAGTGAAAGGCAACCCACCCCACTAAATCCCTGCAGAGAGAGAAATTTCAGATAAGTTATGCAGATTAGCAGTACATGGTCACTGAACCAAACTGCTCTGATCAAATCTGTCCATTAATTTTTTATCTTTCATATATTTTTCTATACATAATTAGAGCAAGATCATCTCCATGAAAAGGACTTAGGAGTTAACTTTGAGTTGCCATCAATGCTAAAAGTATTTAGAGATGTAGGTTAGACACTTGATTAGTTAACCATATGCAGCCTTTGTGCAGTTGGGAAGGTCAGAAAAGACAGGGAGTGCAAGAAACTTGGTTGAGCTTATTGTTTAATTCTACAGTTACATTAAACTACAACAGCACACCGCAAATGCTCAAATGGGATAATCTAATCTGCCCTTTATTAAGATACTAAATATCAAGAACATTATGTTATCAAAATTGATAAGAAAGAAAAAAGTAACAGGCTTTTTATTTTTTGCCTTTAAGAAAAAAGCAATCTTTAAGCTCTTTCTGTCCTTATATTGAAAAAGCAGCTCTATAAAAAGCACTAAAAAGGAAGGAAGAAATAAAAATAAAAAAAAAGGACATGCATAATGCTGAAATACCAAAGCTAAGAAATCAAATTAAGAAGCACGAGACAATCAGACAACTTCAATTGCAAGATTGCAGTCAAATTGACAATATAATACGTAAGAGAATTTGGATTATACTTGGGAGTTTTTGAGGGTTGCCCAGTTGGCATTTTGTCGAATATGTAAATGCGTGCTGTATGAAAATTGAAAAGATAACGAGAGCCAATCCACACCGATCTTACGGACTCCGATTGTCCCTTGAATGCACGCAAAAACTTAAAAGAACCCTACAAATGAAGGGTCAAAAAAGCAAATGGCTTTGCTTATGAAACAAAACAATATAATCCAAATCTGTTTTATTTTCTTTGAACAAAACAGTAGCAAAAAGCTTTAGTAAAGATATATCACTAATCTTTGGAAGCGTAAACGTGTTTACCTTTTTGGTTTTGAAACATGTACCGAATGCAAACGATTTTGGAAGGGTTTATATTTTGAAATCTTTCTTTGGGGGTTTAAATCAAACAGTTCTGGATTCTGATGATGATTTTGGATTTTTTGAAACAGAAAATGCGGTTTATTCTTTTTGGTTAGATGGGACGAATGTACTGACACGTAGCAAAATTGAGGTAAAGTTCGTTTCCCTTTTTTTTTTTTTATCAACTCCCACACAGCAACATGATGGTACAAAAACATATACTCCCTCTGTCCCAAAATTATTGTTCACTTTGAGTTTTCATTTTTAGTTCAAATTATACTAAATGTGAAATCTCAAACTGGACAATAATTTTGGGACGGAGGGAGTAATATTCATGATGAGCTCCCATATTCATCACCTGTAAGCAATAAGCATATACTCATAATTAAGTCGTAAATATTTACATAGACCGATCATTTTCAAGTCTTCCAACTACAATTATTTGTATAGACTAAATCATATAACTACAATTTTATAAGGCACAATCCCTTTCGTATTATATATATTAATGATTAATGATTAAACTGGTTATGATATTTGGCAACCGTCGATGTTTGTCTCTCTATCAACCTAGCACCTAGACAGTACACAACCAGATTGAATAGTGTCAAAGATATTATTAGGGAAAGTATTGTTACTTGAAACAACAAATGGAGGAGCGGCCATTAGTTTTGTCACAAAATGTTCCTTTGATCGAACTTCGAAGCATAAGTCATGCTTAATATCGCGAGCCGTTGGATTTTAGGAGTTTTTCAAGCATGCATACATAAGTGATATTTTCATATCTATCGACTTTGTTGCCAACAAAATTGGAACTAATGAAATTTGGCAAACCACATGCCTTGTTGAAAATGTTTGCTTTATTATAATCCAAATTTGCTCAACACTGTCCGAAGTGTGTTTTAAAAACCGGACCGGGCAGTCGAATCGGTTTGACCGGAAATCGGAGGCCTTTTTGGCCCGATTTCAATTAATAACCGGTAGAATTAAAAACCGGTCAAATTCGGTTAAATTCGGATAAAATCGCAATTTGACCGGAAATCAGTACCAGTTTAATCAGAATTTTGAAATTTTAAAAATAAATTATTTTTTAAATATTTTATAGTCGATTTTTATCGGTTTTAGAAACCGGTCTAAATCAGTTGAACCGGAAAACCAATAAACCACTTAAGTTGGCGGTTCGTCTTCCAGTCCGGTTTTCAAAACATAGACCCCGAACTCTACGCCAGAATAATGTCTTCTCGTGGCTCTTACAAATGTATTGAAAATTGAGATGAAGGTCAAACGTAGACTTTCATAGTTCTTTTTTTATTATCATAATGTTTCTTAAGGTATTTTCCTTCTTAATATATTAATCAAAGAAGGATTATATATTGCATGTGATAATGCACCTAGACTATCTTACATTTTGTTTTTATTTCTCTTATTTTTCTTTTGGCCACCTCTATAAGTATGTAAATAAGAAAATAAATAACATACTTATGGAAGTGTAAAATAGAAATACAAATCATTACAATTATCAAACATGTACAATAAACTAACTCTTGATTGGCCATAATGACATTTTGACATCTATATAAGTCATTGTAATTCGAATTTTACATAATTTTCAAACTTACATATTACATACCATAACAAGCCTTTTAAGAACCACGCAACACTGCGTGGAAGACACGAGAGAGGAATTGTAAGTTGTGACTTAGAAATCGTGTTTAAAATTTTGACGGTATGAATCCAAATAAACAACGGTCCCCAAAGTGAACAATTTCAAGAATATTGGGCCCTGATGATAATTTCTACAAAATGCAAGATTCATTTGATTAAAAAAAAATCCAGCATATCTCATTAAGAACCTTGAATATGATTTACTTACCATTTTACCATTAAAAAAAAAAAGAAGAAGAAAAAAGATAAACTCAGAACGATAGACTTTTTTGATCTCATCATTAATTCAGGAAAACGAGTATCGATGACGGTGCTTTAAAAAATTACTGGTAAGTTATGATTCATATGAACAAGGAATCAGCGGTACGAATAGAAAGTCCCAAATCAGGAGAAGGGAAATCACCCAAAAGAATCCCCCTTTATTATTCACCATAGCCCAAAAAAGCTGCAGATCCCATTTTTCTGCTACTCAGATTTTCACATTGTGCAGAAGGGTTTCTTCCCTTCTTCCTTTGTCAACTGGGTTCTTGGATTCCTCAGCAGAAACAGTTGGGTCAAACCTTTGGAGAGGGTGCCAGTTGGAGCGAAAATGGCGGTTGCAGTTCGGGGCAGCCGTGTCGGTGGAGGATCCGGTGTCGGATCCGCCCTTCGCAATTTCTTCTCTTACCGGATCTTCGTCTCCGCTATGCTTTCTCTCCTCTTCATCGTCACTCTCTGTGTCCTCTTCTCCTCTAATGGCTCCCAGCACGACGGCGTAAGTTGTTTTCCTACCCCTGCATTTTTTTTGTAGCTTTGTTTATGTACAAGTTATTTAATTCTATGATTTGGAAATCTATTGAATGCTGAATCTAATGATTGGACTATTAAGTGTTAGGAGTAGTGAGTGAAGATGATGGATTTTTGTCTGTATTGTTTACATTCAGGTGATACTGACAAGTGGAAATACTTATGTACAAAGAACATTTCAAGCATTAAACTCCGACCCAATTAAGACTAGGTTAGATATGATACAACGACAAGCTGTTGATCACATTGCCCTGGTAAATGCATATGCAGCTTATGCCAGGAATCTCAAGCTCGAGATTTCTAGGCAGCTTAAGATGTTTGATGATTTGGCTTCTAATTTCGGGGATCTTCAGAAGAAGCCTAATTATAGAAGTGCGTTGTTTGAATCTGATGGGCCTTTAGATGAGGATGCATTGAGACAGTTTGAAAAGGAGGTTAAGGATAAGATTAAGCTGGCTCGGTCCTTGATTGCTGAGGCGAAAGAGTCATATGATAATCAGTTGAAGATTCAGAAGCTGAAGGATACGATATTTGCGGTGAATGAATTGCTCGTTAAGGCTAAAAAGAATGATGCTTTTTCTAGCCTGATTTCAGCCAAGTCCACTCCAAAGAGCTTGCATTGCCTCTCAATGCGGCTTATGGAGGAGAGAATTAATCACCCAGATAACTACACTGATGAAGCCCCGAAGCCTGAGTTTGAGGACCCGACTTTGTTTCATTATGCCCTGTTCTCAGATAATGTGATAGCCGTGGCGGTGGTGGTGAATTCGACTGTGCGGAATGCAAATGAGCCGTGGAAACATGTGTTCCATGTCGTGACAGATAAGATGAACGTTGCTGCAATGAAGGTTTGGTTTAAAATGAAGCCAGTTGAAAGGGGAGCTCACGTGGAGATTAGGTCTCTGGAAGAATACTCTTTCTTGAACTCGTCATATGTTCCTGTCCTCCGACAACTTGAGAATCCAACTCTTCAAAAGTTCTACTTTGAGAACAGTGCAGAGAATGCCACGAAAGATGTGAACAATATGAAGTATCGGAACCCCAAGTACTTGTCTATGTTGAATCACCTTCGTTTCTACTTGCCAGAAATGTTTCCCAAGCTACATAGGATTTTGTTCTTGGATGATGATGTAGTCGTACAGAAGGACTTGTCAGCACTTTGGAGTATTGATATGGATGGGAAGGTGAATGCAGCAGTTGAGACTTGTTTCGGTTCATTTCACCGCTATGGTCAATACTTGGACTTTTCCAACCCTTACATAAAGTCGAGGTTCAACCCGAAGGCCTGTGCCTGGGCATTTGGGATGAACATGTTTGATCTTGATGAATGGAGGCGCCAGCAGTTGACGGAGCAATACCATTTTTGGCAGAATTTGGTAAGTACCTGTTAATTAACATGCTTACTATCTGTAATTTGATTTTGATGAATTCAATCTGCATAAAGAAAGGATGTCCGTAAGTTTTTATGCTACCATTTCTACTTGTTAATAATCTTGTGCTTTTAATAATCAGCTCAGTGTTGGCATTCTCATCTATCTTTTCTAATCATGAACAGAACGAGGATCGATCTTTATGGAAGTCTGGAACACTCCCAGCCGGGTTAGTAACCTTCTATTCGTCAACGAAATCTTTGGATAAATCTTGGCATGTTCTTGGCCTTGGGTTCAATCCTAGTATTAGCATGGATGAAATCAACAATGCTGCTGTTATTCATTTCAATGGCAACATGAAACCCTGGTTGGACATTGCTATGAACCAGTACAAGCAACTCTGGACAAAGTATGTCGATTTTGACATGATATTTGTGCAAATGTGCAATTTTGGCATGTAAATCACAAGTTTACTACATCTGAGGTATCCTCAATATCACACTACACAGTCACTGTTGATAGGGCTTAGACTTTTCCATTTTATATTCTAGTCATGGAGCGAAGCTCTGAGGTACTGTACTTCCCCGATATATGTTCTCTCCCCCATCTCCTTAATTTTCTTCAGATTGCTGTAATATTTTTCTCTTTTTAGTTGAAAGCAATGAAAGGTAACACTTCACGTTTCGTAAAGATAGAATGATCTTCAAAATAAGACTACCGTATTTTGAAAACACCCCTCGCTCGGCTGCAAACTGGCTAAATAGTGGAGTGGGCAGTTGATTTTGTACTGCACTTGAAAATGATAGTGAAGTTTTGTCCTTAAGCCATTCTGAACCTGTTTCTGGTTTCTCTGAGAATCCGTTGTTGTCCCCGTATATGTAGTTATGGCGAATGAGCATATGATATATGACGTTGGACTCGTGTTCTGGTGTGTAAATTTGGAGGAATTGATTATTGATGCATTAGTATCAACTGGATTCGGTCTTATTTAGTACTCACTACGAAGTGATTTATTTCCTAACTAGCCAGATTTATAGGTCTTGATCTTCTGAACTTAATGGTCAATAGTCATGATTTCCTCAAACTTTTCTTCTTTATGTAGACTGGTCTGTGCCCTGTAATGCTGGGCATCCGAGCTTCGTGTTCGGATTCTTACCTTAGTCTTAAGTACTATGACCGACAACTTTGATTGCTTGGACTTTTGTTTTACACTTAGTGACATATTACTAAAGATTAATTACGCTGTTTTTTCTAGTTTGTGTGTCACAATTCATGGAAGCCTTTTTCGTTTCTTGGTCCCTCAGTGTCATTTTGCTGTCCTTCCAAAAAATGTCTATTTTTTATTTTTACTCCTGACCTGCAGTTTATATTTTTAGTTATTTATAGTCCCTGTGGTTTGAAAGAAATGTCAAGTTGGGGGAAAAAAAAAAGAGTCTCAATGTATAGTTTATTTATCCCATATACATTCAACAAAATGAACTACTCAAGTATAAGGAAAGTAGTATAAAAAATTTATTTCCACATCGGCTTGCAAATGTCAAACTAATACTACCATACTACTAAGGAGTCCTTCATCTATGGCGAGGGATCTAAGGCAAAAGTGTATAAAAGCTTTAGATTGGGTTAAACCTTACGCCCCCTGCCACTGTCTCTGCTTTTCTTCTTTCTCCCAAACCCTAATCCTCAAATTCACCGCCACCAAATCTCTTGGCTAGCCGTTCATAATTTCGGTAAAATCCACCAGATCCCTTGACCTCCGTGCTGTTTCATATGTCCTTTTAAAATCCTTTTACTCTTATAATGAAGCAAGTCATTAGCCCTTCGCTTCCGTAGTGAGGTTTGAGCTCTTCTTTTTACTTTCCGAAAAAGATTTGTGCTCATTCCAAATTTCGGATCTTTACAAGTAATACGAAAAAAATGCTCTTGTAGATTTGTAGTATTGTTTTAATGAAAAGGTGAAAAATCCCAAAAGAGATAAAAAATTGTACAATTCAATCTAATCTAAATCTCGAGCAATGATAGAGATGGTGAAAATTATATAGTGAAAATGTATAGTGGTTGAAGTGTACATAATAATTAAGGACAAAAGAACAATTTTAAGAGGAAATATAAAATTTCAACGGTAAAATGGCAACAATATAAGGTGTACACATCGGTCACTATTTTTCTTTTCGCTATAACTTTTCATTACATATATCATTTTCCCACTATTTCTTTCCACGACTAAAATGTCCAAATGGTCTCTTACATTTGGGCCTACTTGAATTTACGTCCCTAATATTAACATTTCAATATCGCAATCCCAAACATTATGTTTTCACACTTTTTCAGTTCCATTTCACTGTTTCCGGTCGTTGACATGCCGGAATCAGGGGTATTTTTGTCTTTTAATTTAATTTAAATTTCAATTAAAATTTAAATCATTAAAAATATTTAAAAATTCAGATTTCATTATTTAATTGTTAAAATATTATTTATTAATTAAAAATATTATTATAAAATTTTAAAATTTACATTATTTTTAAAATTAATTTTTTCATTTATCATTTATCTTAGGTCAAAGTAAATAGTAATTATGTTGCACTTTTAACTTTGGACCCGCTGTAACTTAAAAAATTTACTGAGTTACAATAAATAATTCAAAATTCAATTTCTTTAAAAAAAAGAAAAAGCAAAACTATTTTTTTTACTCTGATCGCTACAGTAAACCCTAAATGGTAATTATGTTGTACTTTTAAGCTTGGACCCACTATAACTTAAAAAATTTATCGAGTTACAGTAAATAATTCAAAATTTAATTTTTTTTAAAAAAAAAAGAAAAACCCAAACCAAGATTTTTTTTTTACTTTGACCACTAGAGTTGAATTTTGAATTATTTACTGTAACTGGGCAAATTTTTTAAGTTACATTGGATCCAAGGTTAAAAGTGCAACATAAGGGTTTACTGTAGCGGTCAATTACTTTGTTTTGCTTTTTTTTTTCAAAAAAAAAATAAATTTTGAATTATTTACTGTAATTCGGTAAATTTTTTAAGTTATTGTGGGTCCAAGGTTAAAAAAGCAACGTAGCGGTCAGAGTAAAAAAAATCTTGGTTTTTCCTTTTTTTTAGAAAAAAAAATTAATTTTGAATTATTTATTGTAACTCAGTAAATTTTTCAAGTTACAGGGGGTCCAAAGTTAAAAGTGCAACATAATTACCATTTAGGGTTTACTATAGCGGTCAGAGTAAAAAAATCGTGGTTTTGTCTTTTCTTTTTATTTAAAAAAATTGAATTTTAAATTATTTAATGTAAATCGGTAAATTTTTAAAGTCACAGTGAGTCCAAGGTTAAAAGTGTATTACAATTACTATTTAGGGTTTACTGTAGCGGTCAAAGTAAAATAAATCTTGGTTTTGTTTTTTTTTTTTAAATAAAATTTGAATTTTGAATTATTTACTGTAATTCAATAAATTTTTTAAGTTACAGTGGGTACAAGGTTAAAAGTGTAACATAATTACCATTTAGGGTTTACTGTAGCGGTCAGAGGAAAAAAAATCTTAGTTTAGCTTTTTTTTTTCTTTTTTTTTAAAAAAATAATTGAATTTTGAATTATTTACTGTAACTTGGTAAATTTTTTAAGTTACAGTGGGCCCAAAGTTAAAAGTGCAACATAATTATCATTTACTGTGTATTTAAAGTATATAGTAAATGAAAAAAGTAATTTTGAAAATAATGATAAATTTTAAAATTGTACAATAATATTTTTAATTATAAAATAATATTTAAAAATTAAATAATAAAATTTGAATTTAAAATATTTTTAATGATTTAAATTTTAATAAAAATTTAAATTAAATTAAAAGACAAAAATACCCATGATTCCGGCATGTCAACGGTTGGAAACAGTGAAATGGGACAAAAAAAAGTATGAAAACATAATGTTTGGGACTACGATATTGAAATATGAATGTTAGGGACGTAAATTCAAGTAGGCCCAAATGTAAGGGAACATTTAGACATTTTAGTCGTCTTTCCACTATACACATCATTTTCCGTCATTATAATGTACGGTGTAAGTTCTGTCATACTAAATAAGAAATTGATATGTCTCTTAATAAAAAAAAAATTAAATGACGATAGCTGTATTATACTATCCTCAATGCAACAAAATCATAACAGCCCAAGTGGTAAGAGTACTTCACGATATTAACATTCGAATCCTACCGTACAAAACGTGAGAATGCAACTCCTTTCCACTTCGATCACTCTCCTTAATATATCAAGTATCAACAATAAAGTCCAATAAGCTTTTTGGGAGGTTTCTTTCAAACACTTAAGAGATGCACTATAGAGGCACAACCGCACAGGCTCAACCTACTCCAACAACACAATACAATTTGTCCTTTCAAACCCACCATTATCTTCTTAATTAACCCCTCAAATTAAACACCCCTTAACCATCCCAAAAAGTCCTCCCAGTAATTATCAAACTTTATACTAGTACTAGTATATTGGTTCTTTTTCTTTCAAACACTGAATCAAATACTTGGGGGCTTCCAATTGAGGATGTGGGTTTGCCATGGGAAAAAGTGTGCCTGCGTCTGCGGCGAACGTAGCCACTCTCCTAAGTGGAAAGCAATGGAATATGCCAAAGCATATGTGGGGGGGATTTGGGTTTGGGGAATAGTGCAAAAAACAGTGTAACAAATGTGGAAATTAAATGCACAAAGCCAAAACAAAAAGTGTTTCTCCATTAATAACAGTTCCAATTGTACGCTTTTCAATTTTTTTTCATAGTTGAAAATGATGATTCCTTCTTCTTTTCTTTTCTTTTCTTTTTTCCCCCTTAAAAAGTCAGTCAGCATATAATTATCGATCTCTTCTTCTTTTGCGTGCCCGAGCAGCCGCGTCCCACCTGCATCCCACCTAACATTTTACATTGCATGCATCCACATTCATTTTCATTTTTCCAAATCACAACAAAGTTGATGCAAAATTAATCCTACACCGCTCAATTTCGAACTCTTCTTATTAGTCCTTACTACTCCCTCCATTCACAAATAAATGTCGTTAAAATACCATAATACCCTCATTTATTCTTAATTCAATTGTAGTCCCAATAAAATTCAGTTATAATACAATTCTACGTTAAACATCACTACAATTTTCAATGTAAGGGTAATATTAGAAAAAATTGACAAAATATGCCTCGATTTGTGAGAACCACATCTGTTTTAAAATATTTGATTTTTCCTTTAATAACATATATTTGTAAATGGAGGACGCAATAAACTTTGTTCCGTTAAAGTCATCATATTATAACTTAAATTGGAGCAAAAAGAGAATGTATCGAGATTCTTAGAGACTTGTTTTTATACAACTCTGTTCAGGTTTCGTTGAAATTGAAAAACTCTTTTAATTATCAGGTTACTGCGTAGAACACTTTCGAACTCAATCATCTGATGTGTTAGAAAGCATTAGCAAAATCGAAAATCACGAGAAAGACGTGGATATCATTATACTACTGATGCACCTCATTATCAATTGAAATTAATCCAGCAATACCATAACAAGCAAAAGAAAAATATGTATTGAACTACTCCTGTAAAAAAGTAGAGGTAAGATAATTAAGCCGACAAATTAAGACCTTGCTTAGTTGTATACACCTGTTGACACCTGAGAGAGAGGGACTAGCATTTAATACAGTAGGAGAAAAAGGGATGCGGAAAACCGAAGCCGTAGAAACTAGAAAGGAAGTGGAGAGAGAAAAACAAAAATCCATGATTATGCTGTCCACGTAAGTATGTATCAGCAACATTGAACACGTCTAAAATTCCTATAATCCTATTTACTACTATTACTACTTTCCTCATCTTTCCCTTCTTCTGCTGACCAACTAAAATTTTAGTTTTTTTTTTTTAATTATTTTTTTCTTAAAAAAAGAAGAGCTATATCCAAATTTTAATTCCCACGCAGCGCCGATGCGCTACATTTCTCTCATTCGTAGGGTAGAGATCTGGTCATCATCATCATCTGTAGGATAAAGTTGAGGTGCATAATGAATTCTCCCTTCTTTTTAATTTAATTTATTTAGTGTTGAAAGAATTTTCTACTTCGCGGAAAGTGGGAACGAATGAAACTCATTTTCTCCTCCCATTTATTATTATATTATTGACAAGCTTTTGTACCCAACACTATTCCATTTGTGTAGTTTTAATTACTCCCTCCGTCCCATAATTATTGTCCAGTTTTACTAAAATGAAAGAGTTTATTTTTTGTCAAACTTAACAATATTTTAACATAAACAACCGGATATATCCCTACCTAAGTAATTGTTTAACTACTAGTAAGATTTTATGGATAATATTTTTTACTAATGACAAATGTGTAACTTGATCCATAAAAAGTCAAATTGGACAATAATTTTGGGACAAAATTTTTTGAGCAAAGTGGAAAATAATTATGAGACGGAGGGAGTACGATTCATGGAGTAGTATTGCCGGGGTGGTTCTCCGGCCGAGAAGGACATTTAAACTTTGATTTCCAGATTCGAGATCACATGAAATGAAACTGTCGCATTTACAGCACAACAGCCTGGTCTAGTACTAGTAAAATTTCAATTTTGCGCAAAGTTTTATATTAAATCAAACCAATATACTCCCTTTGTCCCAAAATTATTGTCCGAGATTTCAGTTTTAGTACATTTTGAACTAAAAATAAAAAATCAAACTGGATAATAATTATGAGACGGAGAGAGTATCATTTTTTTTTTCTCACTCATAGTATCAAATATATTGCCTGATTTTTTGATATGCACTGATTCGGCAATAAATTTGAATTTTTTTTTTTTTTTGCTGGTGGCGTTGCACGTCAATGACAAAAAAAGCGTCCACATTCATTCAGGTGATCTTCTCGGAGTTATACTACTCCATTTTTAAAAAATAAATTTTCTGACAGCAATATACCACCTGATTAATGACGAAGCGTCTGTTTTATAGGACTTATTATTATTTTTTTAAACTAAAATGTATTCATAGTTATCTACAATCGGTGCTGTTTATAATCTGCTTTCGAATTGTAGTTTATCCATGTTTACGTGTACTGAAAAGACAATTGGGATGGAAGAACAACAAACACATAACAAAACCAGAAAAACAGAAAATGAAACATGGAAGAATTACGCCAAAAATTTTCTCTTATCAGAGAATTCATTAACCTCATCATCAACCTAATTTACATTTCCGGGAGACTAAATTAAATTCTAAATTCTAAACAAAATTTTTCGCTCATTTGGAAAAACTAAAACGCCTAAATTGAAGCTTGCATGGGAAATCCAAACTTGATATCATCATTTGGGCTCAGACTTGTTCATCGCCGGCGGGACGATCTCGGTGGTGGTCGGCAGATTCATCACCGGCTTTCGGTAATGAAGAAGAAGAAGAAGAGACCGCCGGAACGGCTAAATGAGTGGGATTTTCAGCGCCGGCCATGATGACCAGAATCTGAGGCACCATCACAACGGCGGTGGGGTTATGGGGCTTCACCGATTTCTCCTCATCGTCGCCGCCGCCGCCGCCGCCGCCTTCGGCAGACCTAAATCGCTTGCGATAGGAGCAAGCAAGTATGATTAAGGCTATGGCGATGAGAATCACCATAAATCCTAAGCTACCAAATAAGTAAGGCAATGGGGATTTCCAAAACGATGAAGCTTTGTTAACCACCATTTTCTCTCTCTCACACACACACACACTCACTCAATTAAGTTAATTAGTTTCTCTTCTTATGTTGTTGAAATGGAACAGATGAGTTCGGAGTTTTGAGGAAAAACAGAATATAATTATGGGTTCAAAGAGTGTCGCCATTTTAAAATTTATAGACAGAAAAAATCAGAGAAAGTGGGGTGGCGTAAGAGAGGTTAAGTTTTAAAAGTACGAAAATGCCCCCACACTCTGAGCATCCCTAAGGAAGATTCTTCTAGTGCGCTTTGTGGATTCCTCCATTTTCTTTTTCGTTTTTTGTATTTGTATTTGAATTAAATGAGGGAGTTATGTTCAGATGTTTTCTTGGTGCAGTGAATCAATAATGAATGGTCAAATCTCTATTAAGTAATCGTCAACTTGTTGTCGAAAGAAGAAAGAAAACCTTTTCTACACTTAAAACACAATATTTTCAATTTGTCTCTGTTTTTTTATAATGCCAAATTCATATAAAGCTTAGTCGCACCCCTGTTTTCACTTTTTACCACTGTAATTTCTGTCCATTCTACTATCGTTCATTATAAATACGTTTTCTGTCTCAAAAAAAAAATAGTATACGTTAAGTTTTGAAATTACAGGTAGACTATATGTATGTATATATATATATATATATATATATATATATATTTTGACTGAGGAAGTATTTGTTTATCACAAAAAGATGGTTGTGTAGTTTTGTTTGTATGGTAACGAATGCTAATATTAATGTCACCAGTGTAACAACGTCTGAATGTGAGAAAAAAGATATGTAGTACAAGTGGTTGAGTATACGGATGTGGCGAGCCGATTTGATGCACAAATCGTGAAAATTGTGGACACAACCAAATAAAATTGATTATTTTAATTATTTCAAAATGTGAAGGCATAAGTTTCAAAGAGAGCACTAATTAATTCATCGGTTAGAAGACAATAAAATTCAAAACCACCACTAATGTCTCCCACTTAACCTTTTAATAAGGCGGCACATCGTGAAGCACTAGTAATTTAGTAGTAGTACATTTTTGTGCACTACGTACCTAGCCGATCGTACGGCAAAACAGTTTCTTAAGTATCTTCACGTTTTAAAAATATTATTGAAACTTTCTATTTCAAAAAAAATAATTTCTTACAATTTTAAGGTAAATCAAATTTCATTATAAAATCTCTCCAATTGATAATTATCGCTCCGAAACCAAGATAAAAAATAAATAAAAAAATTTGAATTGTATTTGTTTTGCATCCAACGTTACAATTAACTTGGATCATATGAAACTTGTGTAAATAATAGGACATTGTCAAACATAATGTAGACATATGGTATATGATCTTTATCATCGGATATATACATAGTAAAACATAAATGCTTATTCCTTCATTGTGTTTTTCAAAGGAAGTTTCTTTTATCTTGAAACTATGAAAACACAATGAACATGTGAATGATACTTTGAATCATTCACATTAGTAGTTGCATATTTTTATTTTTATTTTTTCAAAATTTTAGAGTGGGTGCAAGATCATGATCAATTTGGTGTAGTACCACAAAAATTTCCCTAAGCTTTTTCGATCACCTTAATTTTTCATCTAAAGATATGGTTTTGTTCATGATGAGGCTTTTTGACATGGTCAACTTAGAAGCTTAAGTGCCATTATTTATCATCAAATGCACTCTAAATCACGATCGATATGAAGACATAACCACTGGTTTACTTCCATACTGAGGAATCGGCTTACGAGAAAGTAAATCTTCAAAAAACAAGCGTCTTCCTAAACATATAAGATCCATGTAATATAATGTGGAAGTACTGGATCTATTATATTACTCCATCAGTCCCAAACTGAACAATAATTTTGGGACGGAAGGAGTATTTAATGAAGATGAAAATACAAAGAGAAATTGATGTTTCTTCTTTTCATTTCAGAAACACAATATTCCATCAAAATGGCTCAAAGCCAGTGTGTTTGAACTTTAAACGTGATGAAATGGCCTAAAAGATTTGTTGTACTAGTTGAGAATATATGAAGTCGAGTTGGTTGGTGCACTGCCCAGAAATATATGTACAATCATGGCTCACATTTCATTACCAGGACCCCAAATAAATAAATTATTATTTCAAAATGAGCATAAGTTTCAAAGAAGCACTTGAATCATTGGTCAAAAGGCAAACAATTTACTCCCGTTTTATTCTGATAATCCACTATACATAGTTACATACAGTCCTTATTAGGGATCGTCGGAAAAGACGGTAGATAGATCTGCATCAGACATTGAAAATTCACCCTCTTTGAGCTTAGTTATATGACAATGCTTATAACTTGAACTTCGTATGATTGTGTAATAATGATTAAAATAATTGTTGAGAGGGTTTTGTTTTTTGAAAGAGATCTATTCGGTTGGAATCCGAAATTAGTTAGAGTTAGAGCAGTAATTTTGATCACCAGATGCATAATATAAAAGAAAAAATAGTAAAAGTATAAAATTAAAGTGTGTAAACTTATGTTGCTTGCAATAAGAATTTAACTTGGCTTAACGTTGAAGTATATATACACTGATCCACTATGATAGAGTTTTATAACATACAAATTCCATACCTTCTTTACTTTCTTTTCTAAAGAATTTTAGAAAACTATAAGTCATATTGTTTTTATTCATGGCGCGACTTTTCGACAAGTCAACTTCAAGTTCAAGTGTCAATAGTTGTCTTTAAGATGGCTTCCAAGTCACATTATGAAGAGGGATGAACATTAGTAATTTCATTTCATACCTCAATCAATTTATGCCCCCCCAAGAAATAGATTAATGTAAACTAAAGCTGAGACGAAGAAATCTTAGGAGGGGTCCTTATATGTCCACAAAATCTTTTGTTTGGATTATAATATGCTGACTTCAAAACAAATGAACAAAGACCTTCGTCAATTACTATCAACATCTTGCAGGAAACAAACGAAAAATGTGCTCATTTTCAATCAAGAAAGTAGTGGAAACTTCGCTAGATTAATAAAATAAATATTGTCTACCACTCTATAAAGTAACCCCAAAGAAGAATTCTTTTTTTTTTTTTGCTTTTTCTCATTTGGAGTTTTTTTTTTTTTCCTTTTTTTTTTTTTTTACTTTACACACTAAGAATCGCATCATCAAAAGCAACTTTTTCTACTAATTACCCTACTAATTACTATGGGTGTCCATTTCATACCACTTCCTTTTTTTTTTTACTTTCTAAAACAACCCACCCGTTGGATCGTCCTCGATCTCATCCAGACCTCACAGTAGAAACAATAATTACGCGTACGAGACGCCACAACATCAAACCTAATCCATTAACTAGTTTATTATCATAATCGTTTGTTGGACTTATAAGTCAAATGTTGTTAGCTAAACGCTACCAAATATGACTAATCTAGTAAGAGAAACAACAACAATGATGTGCCAAATAGAATGAGTGGCTTTCTCTTTTCTCGTTGATCATCAGGAGAAAATTAGCCGTCAGAATAGTGTATGTTGTGGCCTGTGGGGGGAAGCTTTGTCGTTTATTTAAGTTAAACAAATCCCACTTGATCATATTTAATTAACCCCTTTTTGTAATGGGTAAATGACAGGGTAATTGTTCAAATTAAGTGAAATTGTGGTCCTATGGGTTTTGATAATGTACATGGCTCTAATATGGTGTGCTGTACAATGTATATAGTGAATTTAGCTCTATTATGGCATGGGGTACAGTTGTGTGTAAAACTGTTAAGGATAAGGATGAAGTGCCGTTGTTTTTACTCTGATCATTCTTTTGCTTTCGGTAAAACTCAAATCTCATACAGAAACAAAAGTCAAAGTAATAAAAATACCTAATTTTTGGATGGTTCAATCAATGATCCAAATTGTCCAATCACAATTTGCCTCTGTAAAAAAAAAAAAAACATTGTATGTAGCTATGAATCTATATATAACTGCATTGATGAAACCATTGATTTGCTTTTCAAAAAAAAAAAAAAGAAAAAGAAAAACGAAACCATTGATTTGACACTACAAATGAATACTTGATTTTTTTTTTCGTGAAAATACTAGATTTTCAGTTAAATCAATAGAAGTTACACTTCACGACACTAATTTTCCATAACTTTCACGAAAATATAATAAAAAAAGAACGAAATGTAGATTGCGCAAACATTTCTACGGGTTTTTGTTGAGAGCTTACAAATATGTGGTTATAGGTTTTAGATTTATAAGAAACAGAAACTCGAATCACTTGTAAAATGTTCAGAGTTCACATTTTAAATCGAATTGCTTTCAAATTAGAAGAGAATAGAAAGGTCTATAGAAGGGAGCATGGAAAATAGTACTCCCTCAAGAAATAATTCACATTGAATTTTAAAATGAACTAATTTTTTTTAACAAAAATACTACTCCTTTTGTCCCAAAATTATTGTTCAGTTTAAGATCTCACTTTTAATACAATTTGAACTAAAAATGAAAATTCAAACTGTACAATAATTATGGGACGGGGAAATAATTATTATCATGTTCAGTGTAAGTTTAACAACGAACTGAATAATATTTTCAAAATTAACGTATGTTCATTTGACGATGTCCGTCCACATCTATCATTTTTGTTGGTTAGAGATAAGACTGCCTTCTCATAAAGAACTCGGTACGTTTGAAACAATTGGCCGTTTTCTCACCTAGGAATGATTTTACCTACGTTTATATGAAAGGAATTGAATTAAAACAGATATTCTCATGAAGAAGACTTTTTTTTTAGTCCTAAGTAGAAGACTCTTTAAACTCATCATGATTTCAGTTTCTCATATTTTAGGTGACAATGCAATAACTCAGCCTTTTGGGTTCATCAAATATTCTTTTTGTATAATATGCTTGATCAATAACCCAAAAAAAAGAAGAAAAAAAAAAAAACCAATCATCTAGAGTTGGAAAGCAGAATATGTCATTCATGAAAGAACAGAGTTTTTCTAAACCACAAATTTATGATTATGAATCAGTAAAATTCCAATATAAACAAAATATAATAATAAAAAAACAAGGAAGTCAAACGAACGCAAACTCCAATTTCTTTTGGGCTCATAATTCTTGTGTAGCATGACCACTAGCCGAAGACTTGGACAATTTAGAAATCCGGTCTTCAAGGCATTGTCTTTTAGTCTTTCGGACGTCTTCCCTAGCTACTCAAGGAGGGAGACTTTTGGTCTTGATCGAGTCTTCCCTTTAGACTTGAGAGAATGAATACAACATTAAAAGAATATAAAATATATTCCACACTGATTTGTAGTAGCTTTCTGGCTTCTGCCTTCTTGAGTCTTTGCAGTAGTTAGTAAATACGTAGAAATAAAATATTGAGATAAGGAAATTGGTGGGTTTTGGCGCCCCCATGGCCATAAGCCCCGTAACACACAAAGTAGGTTAACGGGTGACGTTATAGATTTGATGTCGCGTTATACGTAGATTACTACTTTTATTTTCTCATTACCTGTGTGACGTACTGTCGGATTTTTCATATGTTTTTTTATTTCTTCCTGATTTTCTCATCATTTTACAATTTCAACAGTGTTAAATAATTTATTAGAGGAAATCTTTTGTACATTTCGTGGTTTAAGTGAATCTCTATATATGTAAATGAGAATTTTGATGGGCATTTCTTTCGTTTGCGCTACTTTGAAAATGCTACCTTTTTTTTTGCTTATCATGTTTTCTGGCTTTGACAGAATCAAGCCCTTAACATGAATAGCGCTAGACTATTAATTTATCAAGTAGAATTTGTAACATTTCATAATATGTCGAAACAAAAATCTTATGAATATAGATATTTTGGGTTCGATTATACTTAATTACAAGTTGTTTTTATTGAAAAAAGAGGAAGTACAATTCTAATATAAACTAGACTAGATGTTTGTCCCTGGCAAAAGTGCGGGCGCCCTATTTAACAAATTGATATGTAATTAATAAATAATATTACCCATGATAATATAAATAAATAAATAAATTGCAGTAAATAATATGTATTACTCAGAAAACTGGAAGAATAATGTCTTAATGCGTCAAAAAAAACACCCCGGTCTCTACCCTTAATACTACCTTTTTCTTTTGACTGCTCCCCCTCATTAACACAGAATAAATTCTTAAAAATATTTTTCCGTCCGCCTTTTCGAATTATATTAGCCCCAAACTCAGTTTCTCTTTCTTGCTTTTAGGCCCCAATTTCACTGGAAAAAATTAAAACAAAAGATAAGTCAATTAAACAAGTTGTTTTACAAATCCATTAAACAAAAAAAAAGTAAAAAATGTTAATATGATGATAATTAATTACCATGCTGGCGGATTCTGCGTGACTATTAGCTTTATTCTCAAGCTTCTTCTTCTTCTAATTAGTAGGAAAAGTCAGGACCGAATTGTTTGATTGTTTTCAACAAACACAAAGCAAAATAATAAGACTAATGAAAGTGGAACCCAAAAGGAAAAACTTATTAAAATTAATAATCAAACAAACTTAGACGATTTTGAAACTGATCATAATTCTTTATTTGAATGATATTTAGAAGACTTATATTTAGAGGAAAGATGATGACCATTAGTTGGTGCATTGGGATAAAAAACATTTATCTCAAAACCCTTATAGATCAAAGTAACGCCCAACTCAATCGCCCAATACGAACATGGAATCCATAGACGAACGATGATGCATGAATATTCTTCGTGGACTCGGCGGTGGCAGTGGCCTTTTGAGTTTTGGAACGGCCTTCTTTCTTCTCTTTGTTTTAATGATCGTGCTAAACAAAAATCAAGGTCTCCGTTAGAAGAAAGCAACATATCAACAAAAGGGAAAACTAAACCCTAATGTAAAAATAAATACCATGTTGCTTTCTAAAGCTTTCTACCGGCGGTTTCTGCTATCGATCCCAATTAGCGAGGACTGGTCTCCGGACATTGGAATAAGTCGATGGATGTAGAGAATCCATGGACGAAATGTGGTATTCACCAAATTTTGAATCGGTCGGATCTAACGTCGATGGAACTGAAGGGCTCATTTTTATCCTCTCGTCGTTAGTTTCTGCCTCAAACCCATCATATTCCAGGGTGCAATCATATTCAAAAGATCTTGAAATAGATAAAATTAGGGATTTATAGATTTTTGGGGATTAAGGATTTAGAGATTATATTCAATTTTAGGGATTTGAATTTTAATGGGAGATTTTGAGAGATAATAACTGATGATGAGCAATTTATGATATATATATATATATATAATTAGCCATAATTTGTGTTGCAAGAAGATAAGGGTTTCAGAATGTAAATCCCTTAAATTGAGAAGTGTTTAACGTGATCATTTTATTTTTTTGCAGAAATATGGAGCCTTTTTTTTTTCGGATGAACACATAACACGCGGCATCATTCTTTTACAAAAGTTGTATTTTTTTTTGTTTAGGCGGGAAAAAAACTTATGTGAAGCTGACACGTGTCCTAAGTGTCATTTACTTTCATGAATTGTAAAAGGATTGTCATGTTTGGTGGGTGGATGGTTAATCTCTACAATATCACGTTCTCTACAATATCACGTTCTGTGTAACCATCATACGTATATCGTATTTCAATCATTGTATAATTTCAGAAAATTATTCTTCTAACCATTGAAAACTAAGGTAGATTTAGTGGCCGTTTTCGTTACTTAGTGTTAGCGTGTTTAATTAAATTGCTTATAAAAGATTAAACCCCTGGCTTATATTTATTGCTGTTCAATGTAAATTCTAAATTGATTGCTTGATGGACTTGAAAACCATCTCTTAAGCGGCTGGAAAAAAAAAAAAAAGAAAAGAAAAGAAAAGGAAAAACAGTTCCAACAATCATCGATAAGATAAAGACTGCAAAATGAGGTGTGGAGCGTAGCGTAACGGCGTAACTCGTAACCATACCATAAAGCAACAAAAAAAATTGCACTCCTATGATCGGTTTCTCTTTTCCTCATTAAATTGATGAAACTGATTGTGTTGGGTCTGAATAAACGGACATGCCGCGATCTTCTTCATCCCACCCAATAAAGTTTGATTCCACTCCTCTGAAATTAAGCCTCGAAATATGTCATACTTTTCGGCATTTGAAAATCAAACAACAGGACAAAATATCATAATAATTACGGAAATTGAGATAATTGAGAAGATGAGTTATTAAAATGTGACGGGACGGATGGAGTATAAATTTAGCTCTATGAAAGATATTAGTAGCTAGCTATCTAATTCAAAAAGGAAAAGAAAAATTATTGTAGAAAATGAAGAAGATATAGTATTAGATGGGCGTAAATGTTTTTTATGCCGATGGAGTACTAGTAGTAGTAAGGCAAAACTTTTACCGCACCAAAACTCATTTATAACGCAGTAATGATATATCCAGTGACTAAGTAACAGTAAAAATATTTATTGACAAATGAAAAGATAAATACACTATCTATTTATTAAACATGTCTATTTATTAATTAAGGGTAAAAATATAATTTTGGAGGAAAAATAAACTTTAATAGAAAAATAGTAAAAAAACTAGGGCCATAGATTACTCCGAATCAGTCACTATATTTTGTCACTATTTTTATTTACTATATAGATTATTTTCCTTTATAACTTGCCTTGCCTTTAAGGGTGAGATAAACGATTAAGTTGCAGCCAGCCTTACCAGTTTAATTACCAGCTTCGTCATCTTCTTCCCGTGTCTTCCTCCGATCAATTTAGTTTATGAAGATTTTAATAACCAATTTCGAGAAAAAGAAAAAAGGATCTTAATTATCATTTCAGCACCTAAGTAATTAAGCAATGCACTCCATCAGCGATCAAAGAAGAACTCCAAAAGTAAACGAACAGTTACATAAAGAAAAACCCCAACAATTCCTGATGCATTGTAATGATTAATCTTCCTCATCTCTCAATTTACAGTTCCCGCTATCCTCAGAAAAAAAAAGGCAACAAAAATTTCCTGGTTTTTATTGATCGATTCTCCGGCACTAATTATTAATCAAAACATGGGTGTCGGACAAAATTGATGACGACGAAGTGGTTGGGGGAAAAGATGCCGATCGATATTCCCGACTAATTGATAATTCGCCGCCGCCTCAAACTTCCTCTGTCTGCCGGCGGAGTGGCGGAGCGGCCGGCTTTGCGATGTAGGTGGGATTATGATCTCCGGCCATGATAACAACAATCCTCGGCTCCATTTCCGGGTTCGGAAGGGAGGACCTCGGCGGTTTATCATTGCCGGAGGCAGAGGACGAATCTGTATTATTAAGATTAGTGTTTTTCCGGAAAGAAAAAGCCAGAATCATGAGCGCAAACGCAATGAGGCCTAGCATTAAAGCAAGCCCGGAAAAGAGGTAAGGGACAGGTGAATTCCAGTGGTTGAATCCGGTTTGGTTTGGAACAGCGGCGGCGGGAGTGGTGGAGTTGTTTTCCGGTATCATTTTTTTCCGGTTCGGGTTTGATTGTGTGTGTGTGTGTGTGTGTTTTGGGTTTAGCAAATTGGAATCGAAAAAACAGAGAGACCGATTTGTGTCTATTTATAGGGCGATTGTAAACATCATGAAAACGCACTTATATGCATGAGTTTTTCACTTTGTGGGAAACAGAAATGGTACAAAAAAAGAAAAGGAAAAGAAAAAGAAATAGGGGGTTTTAATACCGAAAGTGTCCCTCATTTGGTGTAACTGGGGTGGGATTCTTTCTTGTGCTTAACTGTTTCCTCCTCTTTTTGCTGATCCCCACCACCTATAAGAATTGATTGGGCTGCAAGTTTCATATGATTCAACCTTTCCCTATTTGCCCTCTCCTTTACTTGCACATCTTCAGATTTTGTAATTACAAATCTCATCATTATCACTTCAAATTCCATTACCTTATTTTTTATGTCTTAGAGAATAAAATAGGAGAAGATATTTTGAGTTCTATTCGATTCTTACTGTTATCAAATTTTGTAAAATTTAAAACAATATCTCATTAAAGTCTAGTAATTGTAACCGAAATGAATATAGATCTCTCAAAACCAACGCCTCTCCTTTCTTAGATATGCACAGTGTGATATATAATAATTAATAAATTATTTGAGTCACTGGTCGGAGTCATTGCTTTTTAAGTTCTAAAATAGGACAATTAAGGAAAAAAAAATCATGCTCAAAACATAAAGATGTCTAGAGACAGCTATGTCCTCTAAGTTTGCGTGTAAAATGATAAACGGCTGATATGATTTTGTATTTTTCCCCAAAAACAACTTTCTAATGTGAACTGGAAATTGCATATTTGTCCATTCAAGAAGGGCATTTTTGGTAACATAATTTGGAGCGACAAAGCGACTTGAATGAAGCAACCAGATAAAAAAGAAGGCCGGAGGCGGGGAATGAGTGTGAATTTGATTTTGCTGAGCGAATGGGAAAAAATGGGCTTCGGTTATGAGTATGGCTTTTTGGTTTATGGAAATTGTGACCCTGGGTGGCCCCCATTAAACGTGTTCTCTATGCCCAAGCATCACCTTTCTTTTTAGTAGGCTTTTGAGCTTTTTACTTCCTCCAGACTTCGAGTTTAATTCTTAGCATTCTTAACTAGGTAACAATAGAAGAATTACTTTTAAACTGCGCAAAAGTGGCCTTAATCTTATCTTACAACCTAACACAACCATTTAGAGTGTGCTGGATACCTAAAGCAACGATTAATCTATTCAATAAGTGAATAAGGTGTACATAATCTCTTCGTTTTCAAAACACAGTGAAATTATGTTACTTTTGTGTATGACCCCGAAGTTTGTATACTTAAAATCCTAGTTCTTCTATGTAGTCTGAATGAATTGTTGATGCATACATTTAAAAGTAATGACGACCTGATCATTTTTTAAGAGTTATTAGAGCACAAATTTCATCAAGTTGATATGATTGTGAGTTACAAATGTCACTGTGAATTAACTACAAACTTTTTAACTTCAATTTACGTTATTTGGCACGTGACTTCTTCTGTAGGGGGATTTCAATATCCATGGCGGGGTAGTTTGTGATACCTGGGAGATGATTAGTAAGCAGTAAAATATGTGTTTCGAAGATCCAATTTAATGACAGATTGTTTGGGTTACCATTGAAACAACTAATTTGGGAGTGTTCATAAATTAGATGACTAATTTGTAATTAAAATATGATATAATTGGTGTTATTCACACACGTAATTTTTTTTTTCTTTTTCATTACAGCGAAGAAAGAAGAAAACCTTAAAACATCAGTTAGGAACACTGCAAAGTGCAAATTAAGTTCAAGATTTGCGTTTGCCTCCACTATTGTATTAAAAAAAAAAAAATCTAAAAAATGTTTCAAACTTTCAATGAATTATTTGGGCTTTGTCATTCTGGAGCGGTTTCTAAGCGTGGACCTTTTTATTATATGGGCTTCAAAATAAGGCCGAAGTGAAAATGTGAAGACCAACTAATTTCTTCTGATTATGTATTCCTACATTTGGTCCATACAAACTAAATCCAAAAACGAGGATACCCCCGCCGGAGATGCTCCCGTCGGCATAGAAAGTCCGACCTCAGTTGGCAGTACTACCATTCGTAATGCATCTCATCCGGGGCTACTCTTACCATTTTTCACGGCTGACGCAATGCGCGCACAAATTAACACGTGATTAATGGTAAGATTTGTATATAATATTCCTCGAATTTTCGCTTTCCTTTCTCATTTTTTGGTCGACACTGTTTGGAAGTTTGATCTTTGATGATTCTTTTTTAGTTGAATGAATGGCACTTTTGATGATCAGGACTGATTTATTTCGTAAGTGAAATCTGCAATCTGTAATTTTGTCATCCAATATACGCGTAGACAAAAAAATTGATAATCATCGAAGTTACTTTAGAAGTTTTTGAGATGGTAATAATGCTATAAAATTTTCGAATATCTGCTAACTCTATTCGGCTGCCTTTTCAATTTGTGCGTCCATCCTTATGTCAAGTTACTTGAGTTGCAGAGTTGAATACGTGAAATAGTAGATGATTGGGTTATCATTTTGCAAGCTGCTGATTTTTAATGTGTGTGTGTGTGTGTGTGTTTTGTTTTTTTTGTTTTTTTTTTTTTGTCTAGTTATTTTACGCTCAATTCATCTGGAAAATACTACCAGTGGTTGAGAGATTGAGAGAAATTATGGAGTAACATGTTTTGGCATTATTGGATTTAATTAAGTGTTGCAACTGTTAAGTTTTAGTTCGTTGCCTTTTTGGAGTTCACGCATGCAGCACTAGAGAAAAGTACAATCACTATAGCATGAGATGCCATCTGATGGAAGGCATGTCAGAACTTTTTTATACCTTTTTTGAAGATGAACTTTTGATGGTTGCATCAGCGATTTAGAACTAGTGTATTTTCTTTGGTAAATAATTTTCGCTCTCTCAATGTTTATCTCTGTCCGGGTTATCACTGTTCATTATCTATATTCCCTAATCAATAAATGTGGCATATTAAGGATGCCTTTACATTATTATGTCATTCCTCTGTCCATTAGCCAGAGTGCTTTGGTTTAATATTTTAAATCTGAGATTCAGAATCCATGATCATATGTTTAAACTTAAGTTGTTGTCCCTGGTGGCCCTGTTCTGGTCTTAGTTGGGCAGCTAAAATTTTATGCTTTTCATAAAAATGTAGACATCTATATAGAGATATTGATGTGGAACTATACTGTTGAAATGACTGGAGTTTAAGTTGGCTATTGAAATTTTCTGCTTTTCATCATGTTCCCTGGTGGCACTGTTTTCCTCAGAGTCTAATGCTTGTTTCTGTACCCTACACTATTGTTGGATGATGCTTCTTTGTGTCCAGGTGCTTAACTTGTGTTTTTGAATTAATAAAAGAAAGCTGGCTACGTTTTACACTGCCATTTTAGGTGTACGACTTATAAAATAGCCAATCCCGAAACTGTCTTTATGCATTTCTACATTACTAGTCGACCCTTTTTTTTTTTTTTTTGAAACGGTACTAGTTGACTTTAAGCACTTAAACAATGGATTGATTGGGAATATGATTTCATTCTGGTTTACGTTCTTCCATTCTTTGAGAAACCAACCCAAAATTTAATCAACAATGTGGAAAATTGTGGATTCCATCTGTGATACAAACCTCATATAAGACGTTACCTCAAAATCATAAAGGTTTTTAATGAGACAAATTTATGAATTTGCCTAGCCTTGGGGTTCAAATATTCAATAAGTGTCTTAAATAAGGTTTGAAAAAAAGAAACCAAATGCATGTATCCTGATTTTGTAGCTGTAGATATGGGTGTTGAGGCTCCCGCCCAAGATTGTTTTCTTGTATCTTGCAGGCTTTTGCCCATTTTGTAAGAATCATGTACTTTTCCTCAGCGTCGTAAAGTAGTGAACTACATTTGACTTGGTCCTTCTGTGCATACAGGTTTGTGAATGATAAATCAAGCTAGCAAATAGCAAATGAGAAATAGATACGTAAAGTGCTCCAGTATCAGTAAAGAACCTAAAGACATGTACGTGCAGAAGACGGCCATTGCTTTATGATGCCACATGGTATACAACTTGTCTAGCTTTGCTGCCTATCTTGCCGCTGCATTAGAACCATTTGTTCCAACTTGAGGTATTTGTGGCTCTTTTTACTTTTCTTTATAAAAGTGCATATAAAAAGTGAAAAGTGCAAGAATGAACTAGCTTCAGTCCCCACTCTTCCTTCCTTTTCTTTGAAGAAAATATGTGAACCTGGTGTTCCTATTCCATTTTTCTACTTAAAATGGAATGTGTGATGATTTCACGAGTATCAGATAAATTTTGCTAAGCTTGGTTGATCTTTGTACTAATATAGAAACGTGAAGAATATGGCAAAGATATATATTATAATCTGTTTTCCTTTTCATCCTTGAAATTTACATTTGTTTAACAGATATGTTGATGACATGGAAATGAGAAACGTTCTCTTGTCAGCAGGAACTAATAATGAATCAAAATTACCCGATAGCGTGCTTCTTCTAAATGCTAATTAAGTATTTGGAATATTAAAGTATCCTTGGTCTCCAAAACATTCTTAGCTAAGCTAGGACTAGCTTGTGCCGGAAAAGTTATGATATGCTTTTCTAATCATTAAGTTGAACTGCTAACTAACTGATAGAGTGGCCAATTATTTGGATATAATCTATGTCACTGTCATCTTGCTAAAGCAAATGTACAGATTGTTAGGAATGAGATAAGTAGGCACTCTTACGATGTGGAGTGAATTTGATTCCTCTCATTTGCTTCAGTGATATGGGTTCCACCCAGAAATTCACTTAAAGTGCTTATACCGTAACCAATGAAGTTTTTAATACAAACTTTCATCTTCGTCTCTCTTGATGATATGAATCAGACTGGGGAATTGAAGGGGCCAAAATAAACAATAAATAGAACAAATTTGTTCCTACACTTGCTTCCTCTTAATACCTTACCTTTTGGAAACCACACATGATCCTTCTAGTAAAGCTACTGAAACTAAAAAATTGTAAATAGGATTCTTTATTTGGGAGCAACACATGTTTACGAATAAGACTTATTTTGTGAATAGCAGGAGCATTTGATCAGTCCTGAGAATGGAGAAATTTCAGACAGGGTTATTTTGACGGTGACAATTCCTCATTCAACCCATTAAGATGACAATCGAGCTTGTTGCAATTGGGAAAATCCAAATTTTTCTACTCGAGAATCAAAGTGAAGTTAACATATAAGAAAGATTAAAAAAATGGTGGGCAAAGAAACCTAAAGAGAACGAAATGTTTTCCTAAAACCTTTTCTCTCTAGAGTAACAATAATATAAAATCTGATGTAGTTGGTGTATGTTATATTTTGCTGTATAAAAAAAAACCACAGTCAGTTGTATGTTTGTAAAGTGGAATATTGAGGCAGAGGGAGTGTTATTTGTTACTTTGAAGAATCCTTCTGTTTTCAATGACCAGTGACTTGGCATTTTCTTTAAATAACGAGAATCAAGTTCCTCTCTTTTCCACTGTAGAAATTTTCAGAAGTCTTACTTGTGAAATGGTAGTTGAAGGATTATTGCAGGAAATAGAGTAGTTCAACTCAGGCCTTCCTTTTTTAAAAATTTTTATTCATTTATTTTATATATTTATTTTTACTGCCCCAATTATTATCTCAGTGCACACTTTTGATAAGTATCTTGTTCTGATAGTGCAGTCCCCATAGATTCTTGAGTCTAAGAACTTCTTATTTACACATTTGGACAAGAATTTCTATTCCTTTTGGGTGCACCTTTTAGTTAGATGCTTGATGTACGAAAAAGCTCTTCCGCCCAGCAAATGGCAACACAGAAAGAGATACGGAATTTGTGATTGATCTGAAATTGATTTTAAAGGCACCGTGAAGAGTAATAGCTGATGGCATATCTAGCACACTGCAGTTACCAAATCCGGAGCCACAAAGTTTTCTACATTCAGAATTGCTTCACTTGTCTATTCAATGGCTTCCTTTTTGCTTTCCTTTTTTTATGCCTTCATTTCCAAAAAGTGAAAAGTGCTCTGCTATTTCCCGCCTTTGGCTGTTAATCCTAGAGCAGTCTATAACACTTCAAACTAAATGGTACTTGATAAGCTTTAGTATTATTTAGGGTTGGGAAGCGTCGAAGCTACCCGGGGGGGGGGGTGAAGTGCAGTCATGCTCTGTTTTCTATAATTAGTCGAAATATATCGAATATTTAGTAGAAATATTTCAAACTATCTTCTCACTTAAATGTGAGTAAATGGTTCTACAGTTTTGTTGTATGGATTTCAAACTGTTGGTCCACTTTGTCTTGCAGATTAATAGGTTGGTAATTAGCGAGGATCAATTTTGCTAGATGCACTTACCAAATGTAAAAAAGAAGGCAGTAGTGAATATGCCAGGCCAAACTAAGTATTAATGGAAAAGGGGACAGGGAATAATAAGGACACGTGAAACTGTTGAGCATTCCTCAATTGACAATATTTTACCTAAACTTTGATTCTGGAACAATCTTTTTACTCGTATCTTTGATGAGGTAGTATGTGAGGCTAAATATATGTATCTTTGCTTTTCTTAGACGAATATACTGTTGGAAAAGTGAAAAAGTGCAGCATTCTATCTAAAGCATCATATGATTAGTATTCTTGAACTTTTATTTTGAGGCTATAAACTTTAGTGGCCTTTTCTGCATGTAATTTTCTGCTTGACTAGAATTTCATCCACTGAACATTCATTATCTGCCCTGCACAGGATTTGGATAATACGTGATGATGCGCATTGACAGTGGTTAATTTGATATGGTGTGGGTAGCCACCCTAATGGGTAGAAACAAACTTGTACTTGTTTTTTTGACTTACACTAGCAGAACACCCCTGTATTGAATTATCCTTTAGTGATAGAAATCTAGGACTTTTTGTTGGAGGCTCATCTTTTCACACTAGAGGTAGATTTGTACTTAACATATTTTATAATTGTAAAAAAATTTCTCTGTGATGATCTCTATTTAGAAGGGATGCATAGTGTATGGAAGTCCCCTGCATGTGCTCAGCCCAGATAAGGATCAGGCCAGTTAGATATGATACACCATGTCACCTGCAATTTTCACGACTGGAATTTGTGAACTTAGGTCTCTCATATTAAGAAAAGAGGACTATGGAAGTTTACTTTCTCATGCTTTTTCCTACATTAGCAGTCAAGAAACATCCTAATTCACATTTTGCTCTCGTTATGTTTATAGAGACTAACATATACCTAAGATTCTGTTTATATTACCCGTTATAGGCTCTGAATTACAAAAACAGAATCTGGGACCATCATGCAGCTGTGGATTATTATTGTTTAAAGTGCTGGTGTTTCTAAAAGACCAAAGTCCAATGTGTAAAAGAGACACAAAAGAGCACAAAAGGAGGGGGAAGCTGAGTGCGGTATCTTTAGTTAGAGACTTTGGAGTAGACTAGTAAAGCTTGTGTCCTTTTTGAGTGCCAAATGTTGCTTCACTGCAAAGGTTTAATAATCTAGTTATATTTAGATTACTGCTTTTAGGACGTGAGAATTTTTTTCCTTAAATGAGTACTTTGTTAACTCTATATACAGTTGTCATTGCTCAATCATTTGTCATATTCTCAAATTTTCAATGATGAACCAAAAAGGAAACTTAATTACTCCGCAAAATGTAGTACTGCTATTACAAGTACGACTATGTACATGTGGATTACTCGAAAACAAAAACCTTGGAACTAATACAGCATTATCAAAATCAGAATGCATATTTCCTGGATCTTTCTTAAGGCTTGATCCTGATTACTTCTTGGAGTTTAGAATGATGGCACAATGCCATAGCCGCTTTCCATCATCAGTTCCGTGGAGAGCATCTGATCAACTTCGCTCTCAACATCCGTCCTCTTAGCGAATCGACCTTTAATCCTAGGTCTTGTTTCTGCATACGCTTTCCTGGAAGCGTACCGAATTGTCTTCTCAAACTTGCGGTTTTTCTTCTTCTCTCGGTACCTCAGAACTCTGGCCTCCCTGTCCATAGGCGGAAGTTGCTGCGGCAATTGCATTGCAGTGCTCGCGAATAGGTCGATGGTGCCTTTAGATGTTCTATGGTGAGAGACTGAGGCATCACTCATGGTTGTATCTGGGACTATACCGCAATCCATTGATGACATTGAAACCTGAAATCGAAATCAGATGCATCATTGGCTTAAATTCTCAAATTGAATGTTTTTTAAAAAATGAAGTTAACTACTTTCCGTAGAAAGAAACGGATAATAATGGTAAATAATGAAAGAACAAGAGTGAATCTGCAAAAGAGCCTCACTTTTTTAAAACAGATAACAAAAAGCGTAAACTCCATCACAGTGGGAGACAAAGTCAGATACTCAAATTTTTTTTTTTAATGGAAATAAACATTAAGGCAGGCTTAATTGAGTAACAGTTCTCATCATGCAAACCGGTGATTGATCTTCTCAATCACCAAGGAATTTTGTGCAAGAAAAAACATGTCGATCCCTGCAAAAAGGAAACACAAACTAAAAGAGTAAAAGATGCACTGATTGACAAAAACCAAAAAAATAAATAAAAAAACAGGGGAAGATGAAGAAAAAGATGTTGCTGCTTACGCTGTGACTCATTGAAGCAGGATAACCATAACCAGTATTGGATGATTCATAGTCCAAACCCAATTGGAAACTCGGGTGATGCTGCTGTTGTTGTTGAAGGTGAAGCTGATGATCTTTCCCTATGAATCCAGAACGATCAGGGACTTCACCATCACATCCATAGCTCTTCTGAGGGACTAGAAATTGCTGTTGGGCGCTTTGATACTGATGATGATCATCATTATTACCATTACAATTGTACTGATTATCCTGGCACGAATTGTAATCAACTAGGTCCAGGTATTCATCCACAACTTCCCCGCCACCAAACATCATTCCGTTACTCTGATTACTGCTGTTGTTATTATTACTGTTTTTAACAGGGTTAAACAACAGCCATGAAGCTGCTTCATCTTCATCATCCTCATCAATCGTCTCATCAACGTCCTGAGTCAAGAACCCATCATCAGCTTCCTCATTCAAATTATGAACCCCAATCATGGATCCCCCAGAATCATTCCCCTGGGGCCCGTAAAGGGTCGCCGGAATCGGCATAATGGGGACACGGTGGTGTCGCCGGGCCAAAGGGTTAGCAGAATGGATGTCGGAATCACAGTTGGCACAGAGTGAAGCGGCGTCGGCCTTGCATAAGAAAGCCGCCGGAGCACGCTCGCAAGCTTCGCACACCCAAACCCGTTCATGGCGGGAAGCCATCTTATTGGCTGCGTGGATTCGGGAATCACAGCCGGTACAGAGGAATGCAGAGTCGGCCCGGCAGTAAACGGTGGAAGGCGCGGAACGGCATGTATCACATACCTTTCCCCACCCATTTCCGCCGCCGTCTTCCTGCTTCATCATTTTTCTGAGTTCAGGATGCAAAAATTTGGGGAATGAAAAAAAAAACAGACTTTTGAATTGTATGTATGTTGGAAGGAAACAGAGGAAAGAAGGGCTGTGTGTGTTTTGGTTTGTGGGATGTTTGGTTGTTGGCAGTGAAGACTTTTAACAGTTGGGGAAAAAGGGCGGGGAAAAGTCCGTACTGAAGAGAGAATCCCATGGGGGTGGACACGTGGAAGGAAGTTAGTGGGTTTGACGAGTTGCCTTATTATCTTGTGGCTGGCTATGATTCCTGGAGGTGGTGGGGTCAAGGTGGGGTCTACTGCTTTTGGCTTTTGGAATCAATTTAAAGTTTGTGGGTGAAGAACCGCCGGAGGACGACGGAGGAAGACGACGGAGGTGATTAAAAAGTGTTATGCTTTTGGGGCACTCGAGAGGTGGTTCAAGGGGAATGCACGCGCGGCAGCATTCTCTTTTTGGATATGCTTTCCACCCTCGTGGACTCAACGCCGGAGTAAAATGATAGAGTCAGTGAAAATCATAACATAAAATGATAAAATGACATCGAATTATTTGAATTCTAAATTAATGATTCGATCATATCATTTCGGTTTGTATTATAACTTCGTGCGGTGTTTGTTACAGTATAAAAACTGATGCTGTTTAGGAATGAAAGAAAGAAGGGGAAAAAAAATGCATATATTTTGGCTCTAAATACTCCAACATAGGAAGAGCTATTATAGAAAAATTGTATGTTTTCTGTATTCTCTTTTGTGCTGAGGGACTATGGTTGTTTCGTTCCTGGTGCACTGTTTCATTTGGAACAGAAGAAATGGTACTCATGAGAGGATGAAAATTAATTTTGCGACCTGAATAGAAACTTTAATTTTGCGTTGTTATTTGATTTTTCTCTCCATGCCTAAAGAACAGAATCGACTCTGGTTTTGGTATAGAAAGAGTATGGGGATATCATGTGACGGCATAAATGAATGAAGTGAAGTGACCATCATAACATGAAATATTTTATGCCTATGAACGCTACTGTTTTGGTTGTAGTTTTCATTTTGATTTTTCATTTAAATTCACTGAAAACTTCCATCCATTCACGTAGGATATGACCATATTAATGCGAAAAAGCGAATTGTTAACAGCTATAACGCAAATTGCAGTTCTCGTGCCATTTTCAGAATTTAGACACCCAACATTGAACTTGACGAATTTCAAATTTTCCCTTCGCACTAAGGGAAATTTGTGGTTATCGGGACCATATATTACGTATATGTAAATGTTTCCAGAATGTTGGACCATGAACCCAAAGGTTTAAGAATTTTCATTTGATATATTACGCTCTCGTAACTTTTATGTGGAAGAACTTTATTCTTCTATTTCAAAATTATTATCCAATTTAGATTTTTATTTTCAGTACAAATTGAATTAAAAGTGAAAATTCAAACTGAACGATTATTTTAAGACAGAGAGAGTACAATTTACCATTATCCTTTTGGTGATTAGTACATGCCTATGGACGCAACATGTTAGGATATCAAATGCAGCCCTTCAAAAATTGGGATCAAATTGAACTTATTCTAGTCAAAGGTAAATGGTCTATCGCATTTGCATTATTTACTCTACACACAAACTTTCACAAAAGTCTTTAGTAGACATACGCTTGATTGCTTTCAAAAAGACAAGACATTATTGCGTACTTTATTAAACGAACCTACAGTATTACACATATAAGTTTATAGAGTGAGAGCAATTATACAAATGGAGAAAACTCGAATGCTTCGAATATTTCGTGAAGAAATACAGAATGAAGAATTGTAATTCTTGTCAAAACAACACCGGAAAGCCTGTCTCCCTCATTGCATTCATCAATTATATATAGCGAGCGTCGAAGGCGACAAACCTTTCCCAGAGTAGAAGATGAAAAACTGGGTGGCAACCTCATATAAATCTCGTCATCAAGATCGCCATGAAGAAAGGCATTATGGACATCTATCTTATGAAGTTCCCAGCCTTTACCAGCAGTAACAGAAAGTAAGGTGCAAACTGTGACCATTTTTGCAACCGGTGTAAAAGTCTCGTGATAATCAAGACCCTCAATCTGATTGTTGCCAAGAATGACAAAACGAGCCTTGTACCACTCCACCGAACCATCCGAGTGGTGCTTAATTTTGAAGACCCACTTGCACCCAATGGCATGTTTTCCAGGAGGAAGAGATTCAATAGTCCAGGTACCATTATGTTCAAGTGCCTGAATTTCCTGTTGTATAGCAGTGTGCCAGCGATCATCTTTAACTGCCTCCGCAAATGTGCGGGGTTCAACACCTGTAGTAATAACTGCCAAGAAAGCTCGATGTTGCGGAAAAAAAGAGTCACAAGATAAATAATTGTTAATGGGATAGGACACATCTGAGGAAACTGCTAAAGTAGATGAAGCAGGAGAGGGGCTGGAGAGAGACAGTGTGAGAAGCATAAGCAGTTAAACGAGTGGAACGAAAATTAGTTCGATGCCCACGGCCCAGAAGTTCCTCTTATTGTTCAGACGAAGATAAACCCCCCTGCTTAGAGACGTAAGACTAGGAGGACTAGATATGGGTGGATCAGGAACAGATGAAATAGGAGAAACAGTAGAAGAGGAAGGCATTGGAATGGAGGGAGGAGAAATAAGTGACTCGTCATCATCCTCATCAATAAAGGACGGGAAATAAAAAAACAGAAGGTTGCACAGTATCATGAGAAGATAACGGAAAAGGAAATTCAGATTCTGAAAAAACAACATCCCAAGAGACAAAAAATTCACCCGATTCTAAATCATAAACTCGCCAACCTTTTCTTCCAAAAAGATAACCTAAAAACACACAACGTCGACTTCGACTAGAAAAATTATCACTAGTGCGAGTGTGAGCATAATACAGGCAACCAAATGCACGAAGATGAAAAAAAGAAGGTGGCTTGCTATATAAAACTTCAAAGGGAGTTTTTCCTTTAAGGACACTAGAAGGGGTACGATTAATTAAATACCCATCTGTTAAGACACATTCTCCCCCAAAATTCAATAGGTAGGTTTGCCTGGAAGCGTAGAGCGTGAGCAACATTAAGAATGTGTCGATGCTTACGTTCTACGAGACCATTCGGTTGAGGAGTTCTAACACAAGAAGTTTCATGCAAAATGCCATTTTGGCTGAAATAATCAGACAGACACAAAAATTCAGTGGCGTTGTCACTACGAACAATTTTCATAGCTTTATCATACTGACGCTCAACCATGGTAAAGAAATTACATAAAGTGGAAGAGACATCAGATTTATTAACCAAGAGAAAAATCTAAGTGGAACGAGAAAAATCATCGACAATAGTAAGAAAATAACGTGCACCAGAAAAAGCAGGAACCCTATAAGGACCCCATAAATCACAATGTATTAAATGAAACACTTCAGTTGCATGAGCATGACTAATAGGAAAACTCTCCCTAGATTGTTTGGCTCGAAAACAAACATTACAAACCTTATTTGAAAGCTTACTTTTAGAATAAACTAAAGAAAGCAGTTGTAAAACCTTCAGTGAAGGGTGAACCAAACGTTGGTGCCACAAATCTGAAGAAGAAACACTAGGAGATGGCATAGCAGCAACAGTTTCCACAGCACGGAAGAAGTATAGCCCCTCTCATTGCTCACCCGTTCCAATCAGCATCCTCGAAACGCAGTCTTGTATAACACAGTCATCAGAGGTAAAGTGAGCAACATATCCAGAATCTCGTAATAACTGAGAAACGGAAATTAAATGACATTGCAATTGGGGAATAAAAAGTACATTGTGCAAAGTAACGGTGCTGCTCAAATCATAGTGCCAGCCTTAGTGGCGTAGGTGCATTGGCCATTAGGTAACTGAACAAGAACGCCAGGGATATCACGAACATCTGTAAAATAATCTAATTTCTCGGTCATATGCCGAGTGGTGCCAGAATCATACATCCAAAATATAGACCAAAACGTACCAGACAATTTTTCGGTCGAACCGGTCTCGGCCGAGTTGAACAAATGAAGAAGGGTGGACCATTGCTCCCTATTTAAACCAATAACCGCCCGACCCGGTTCAGCAGCACCTTGACCCGAGCTGACCACCGTATTCACAACCGCGGTCAAAACACCAATCTGGCCACCACTGGTCTGACCACCAGGAGAGACGCCGCGACCAGCACCACGTCCACGGCCGCGCCCTCTTTCACGGCCACGTCCACTATCCGGCCAATTTTTTGGATAATCCAAAATCTGAAAACCTGACGTGATTTCATGTCCCGGTCGGTTACAATGGGTGCAAAACAGACCACCCTCCCGAACCAGACCACGACCACCAGATTTTGATGCCGTAGCAGCCGCCACAAATGTCGTAGGATCACCGGAATTTGCAGAAACAGAAGAAGAACCGGCGGCAATCTGAACAGCGAAACTAACCACATCCGGCGAAATCTCCTTCGACTGAGTAATGTTATGCATTTTGTCCTCCTGAACCATGGTGGAGTACACTTTATTTAAACGCAACAACGAATCCTGGGTGAGAATCGTTATCGGGCAGTGGAGTAAACAACATCATCAAGTCCCAGCAAAAATTGATGAATTTTTTCTCTTATCGGCAGCAGCACCCAAATTACACTCACACTTCCCACATGTGCAAGAAGGAGGACGAAGATACGATCTCAGTTCATCCCAAATTTTCTTCAACCGGCCATAATAAATGTCCATGGAGAGTCCCTTCTGCTTACAGGATGCAAGATCAACCTTGAGTTACTGTAATTTTGGACCATTGATGACGGAAAAACATTCCTGAAGGTCGGACCAGAGATCAGCGCCACCTCCATATGAGTAATCGTGGAATAGAAATTCGGCTCAATTGAATTCATGATCCAGGAAATTAGTAAGGAGTTAATCATCCATCAGTCTTTATGATCAGTTGAAGCAGCAGGTGTTCCGGAATCGAGCCATCAACAAATCTGAACTTCTTACGAGCCCGTAAGGCGGTCTTCACACTGCAAAACCATTCGTTGTAATTGAGCGCACCTTTGAGTTGGACCTGAGTAATTGGCGAGCCGAGACTAGCATTGGAAGTCAGATCATAAGGTGAGATAGTCTTTTGGTGAACAGACGCATCACAGCCGGTGGCACTACCAAGAGGAGTCGCTGTGACACAAAAATTCAGTGTCGTTGTCACTACGAACAATTTTCACAGCTTTATTATACTGACGCTTAACCATGGTAAAGAAATTACATAAAGTGGAAGATACATCAGATTTATTAACCAAGAGAAAAATCCAAGTGGAACGAGAAAAATCATCGACAATAGTAAGAAAATAACGTGCACCAGAAAAAGCAGGAACCCTACAAGGACCCCATAAATCACAATGTATTAAATGAAACACTTCAGTTGCATGAGCATGACTAATAGGAAAACACTCCCTAGATTGTTTGGCTCGAAAACAAACATCACAAACCTTATTTGAAAGCTTACTTTTAAAATAAACCAAAGAAAGCAGCTGTAAAACCTTCAGTGAAGGGTGAACCAAACGTTGGTGTCACAAATCTGAAGAAGAAACACTAGGAGATGGCATAGCAGCAATAGTTTCCACAGCACG